TGTAATCCTAGCTACTCAGGAGGCTGAGATCTGAGGATCGAGGTTCAAAGCCAGCCCAGGCAGGAAAGTCCGTGAAACTCTTATCTCCAATAAAACCACCAGAAAACCGGAAGTGGCACTGTAGCTCAAGTGGTAGAGTGCTAGCCTTCAGCTGAAGAGCTTAGGAACAGCGCTCAGACCCAGAATTCAAGCCCCGTGACTGACCAAAAAAAAAACAAAAGTTTTCTTCTGGATATAATGTCCAGATACCTCTAATTTCAGCATTTCATAAGACAGTATTCTTAGTATTCTAAATGGTCAGGAATGTTCAAACTGTATTTGCTTGTTTAAAGGTACATGAATTAAACACTTCACTCTGTATATTAATAGTCAATGTTGCTTCCTTCACACCTCGTATTTTATTTCCATACCTGTATACAATTTTGTGCACCCCTAAAGTATCTGTGCTCACATTTTAATAACATGATTCTAGAAAGTTAAATTTTTAAATAACTCTTAAAAGTATTAAAAGGAATAATGTAGTTATTAAAGTATTAAACACATAGCAGAACAAAAATGTGTTATGATCATGATTTGTTCTTATTTTTTAAGATTCATACTTAAAACCAGTGCTTAGCTACCAGCTTTCCCTGGACTGGTATTTTTTTTACAGCTTGCCTTGAGTTCTCAAAAAAAAAAAAAAAATGCACAGTAAACATTGCTTTCAAGTAGTAGCCAGGCACAAGTGTCTGACACTTGTAATCCTAACTACTCAGGATGCTCAGATTTGAGGATCATGGCTTGAAGCCAGCCTGGGCAGGAAAACTGTGAGACTCTTCTCTCCAAATAGCCACGAAAAGCCAGGGATTAAACCAAAAAAAAGCTCAGGGATAGCACCCAGGCCCTGAGTTCAAAGCTCAGGACGAGCACCAGAATAAAAAAATAAAAAGTAATAAAAATAGGAAGACTACCATTCTTTGTAGGAAGGAAAAAAACCTGCTTTATTTGAGTTTTGCTAACTTGGAAAACAAAACCTTGAGAACACTGGGCATCTCAGTCTAACAATAGCTAGTAAAACATTTTCAAAATTCAGTATTTTTGACATAAATGAAAATACCAGATTCTCTAGCTCCCTGATTTATCACTATCAAGGTCCTATCAGTCACATGTTTCAGCTTTTTATATGAAAGTGATCTGATGAAGAGTAAGCTAACTTATAGCTTGTATTTTGTCTTGTTATCTGCTTATAAAAATCAAAATCAAAGCAGTGAGAATGGCAGCCGGAGGTGTTAAGGCATGACCTAACAGGTCTGCCTTACAACACAGCATGAGTCATTTGGCTGAGGTTTCCAGAAGGAATCAGAGCCCAGACATTGCTATTGTCCAGTCTTACCAAGTCACTTACACATTCTAGACACTAGATATTTCAATATCTTCATTACTAGTAGGAAAATTCACAGAGGTACAGTTGGACAGAATTTAAGAGCTCACCATCCATGTTTTACTAAGCGTAAGGATGCATTCGGAGATGTGAGTTAGGGGTCAGACCTAGTTAAGCCGAGTGGAGGGCAGGGCTCCTAGGTGGGAATGACACTGAGGAACAGGGGACTATGGGCGACCCAGAACATGGGGTGTGCCTTTGGGAGTGGCACTGAAGAGCTCTGATCAACCAAATCTAAATCCACATAAGCCAACAATTTCTCCATCAATATAAAGGTTCAGTGGAATAGGCAACCAGAATGAGCATCCTGAGAGAACCACAGCTCTGCCACTGAGGAACTGGCCATAGATAGTCTGGACAACTTGAAATTCCACCATCCAAACAATGTTTGTACTGGTGACTTATCCATCTCAGAGACCAGCTATAAGGGAAACGAGCTGAGGTTATGTCTCCAATTCCAGGCCTGGTCCAGTTAAGACCTGACATTTATCCCTAACTCATAGAGTCTCATAAGAATGTATGCCTTGCCGGTGACATTCAAATAACATAATGCATGCAGCAGATGTGCTTAGAACACAGTAGGCACTCAACAAATAGGAATCCCTGCTTTTCTCCAATTCTCATGCTGCTACATTCAGTGACAAGTTAAAAGGGTTGAATCCTGCCAGTAAGTTAAATAATGTTCTGATGTAGACAAATAAAATTCATATAGGTCATCCTGTTTTCTCCCGAGTGATATGGGAGTGAACTCAAACTACCAGCTTACACAGTATTCAGTTCAATAAAGTTTTATATATATATATTTTATATATATTTATATATTATATATTACATATTATATATATATATATATATATATATATATATATATATATATAAAACCAAAAAGCTCCTATACTGTTAGGATGATGAATGCCTTCCCTATCCTAATATTTGCATACTCTGGTTTCTCTTCAGATCTATAAATCTTTCGCCTTTTACTAATATTTGGAGATCCAGATAATCTTACTGAAATTTTCTTTGACAAGGCTTGTCATTTCTTTGGAATTAGTAAAACTTAAATGCATTACACTTTTTTCTTTCCAGCATGCTACAAATGAAAGCTGATGAGAAACTGAATGCATCAGATGTGAACACAGCAAGTTGCTCTTTGAGCCCTATTAAGATGTGCCTTAATCATCCTATTGAATGGAATCTGAATTTAACAGCATCTCTAGCAAGCTGTACGGTTCATAACCAAAATCTCAAAAGTGAAGAAAAATAGATGGCAGTTCTTCTTGCACTATCCTTATTTTGTATGTCAGAATTCTTTCTGCTGAAGAATGAGCATTTTATCGATTGATCTCTAAATATTTCTAGTCCTGTGATTTGTCTTTATATTGTCATTAGCATTACCCAAGTTGATCATATTCTTTGTTGGTTTTGTTAATGTTTTACACCAGACCATTGTGAGATTTTTGCAGTACAGATTTTGATGCTTCTCTTTTTAATGGTATTTTGTGGATTTTTATGCTAAGTTTAAATATGTAATTTTCCTGTTTTATTTCTGTGCACAAAGTTTTAATATATTCCACATGATGTAATTTAGAAAGCTAGCATTATAAAGACTTATGGTGATGACCTGGCCTATAGAGAGCTGCATAACAGGTGGATACAACTACCTCGAAGCAAATTGGGATAAGAAAAGGCAAAGGTGTGATTTGAAGAGTATCTCTTTCTGTTATATATGTACAGAAGACTGATCACAGTGTATCATCAAAAAGCATGTTTCCATTCATAGAAAAGTTCATCACTTCTCTCTAGATTGTAAAAACAATGGCACAATTGCATGCTTAAGCCTCAGCCAATTTGTGCCTCTTGGTAGACAAGGGTACTGTTACGAATTCCAAGATGGAATATGGATTTATATCTACTGGTTCTATTGTACTTTAGCTATTTAAAGTTTAAAGGATGTCATTTAGAAGCAGAATATTATTGCTAATTTTAATAGTGTAACATTCAGCAATGCCTACATGATTGTCAAAAATTTGGATACTAAGAGTGCTAAAGATTTGGTGCTTAAAGTTATTTTTCTTGTGCCAGAGAAAAACAGGCTTTGGCATGGTGTCTCTTATTTCTTTCCTTTTGGGTGGCCTGGCTATGTATACATGGACTTTTAGTTTATTGTTTTAAAGACTTTCCTACAGCACATTTGATGTACTAGTTCCCCTTCAAAAATGTTTTAAATGTCAAGAACAAAAGATGTAATTCATAAAGAATTTGAAGCACAGGAAAAGACAGCCATCAGAATGAAGAATCATCTGGTTTTCAGTTAATTACTCCATTACCATGTCTGCCTTTTCTTTTGCTCATAAGCATTTTTGCATTGTGATTTTTGACTCCTGAGTTCCAACCAAGCACATTTGTGTATATAACATAGCAAACTGGTTCTACAAACCAGCAATATTACCTTTGTTCCATATGGAAGCACCACCTGAACTAAATGCCTCTGATAAGCCTAAAGAAGCACAATTTCTAAAACAGATGCACGTTAGAACATTTTTCTAAGTAATAGAGAAAAAGGGTTATTATTAGGGGTTTAAAAAAAAAAAAAGGTGATCCATTAGTTGTTGCTAAAAGAACTGATTTCACTCAGTGCCAATTGCAAGACCATTTAGAAATTGACAGTGCAGAAACAGAGTTCATAAATTAGTATATAAAGAGGACTTCCAGTCAGTAGCATTATCCACAATAAAAAAGAACAAAACCTTACTTTTATTGGGTCAAACAGAAAGTACTTTCATGACTAACACACATGTGGCTATCTCCATAACTCAGCATTCACCTACAAAGCCTCCCGTGTGGAAATGTGTAGAGAGAGGGCTTCGCATGCAGATAATATTATCCAATATGTTGTTAGCATAGGAATCACAGAATAAGGTTGTGGGAACAACTGTTTCATCTGAATCAGGAGCCAAACAGGCTAATGACTTAGCTCCTTTCTGGCCTGTCTGTGGTACTTCGTCTTTGAAATGTGTCCTAAGGTGTTCCTAGCTGTCTTAGGATCTGTTCCACCTAAACTTTCCAGACGATGCAAATCACTAGATACTTAAGTTTTTCCTAAGGCCATAATTCCCTAATAACCACCTGGGGAGCTTACTTTGTAGTACTAAGGTTTGAACTTTGCCTAAGCGCTGTGAGGCAGGCCTCTACCACTGCCAGGGGACCTTTTTTAAAAACCCCAGACCCCCCCCTCTGATTCTGATGAAACAAATCTGCCTGACGCATAAAGATGGTCTTTGCGCAATCACATCAGCAGACTCGGCTGTCCTGATGCAGAGCACGCGTGGCGCCACCCAGCCATCCTCAGAAGACATTCGGCCTCATACGATTTCAAAACCAAAAAACTTTATTAAAGCAAAGAAACAAGTAGACTTTTAGAAGACTCGGCCGCCATCATCTCTGCTAATTTCCATCTTCATGGAGGAACTGTTCAAGGTTAAGTTTACTTTTTTCCAGGGCTGCGGTTTTGGCCCGTCGGGGTAACCTCACCTTCACTTCTGGCTCTGGCTCTGGCTCTGGAATGTCCTGATCACTAAACAGAGGTTGAAAATATACTTTAGGCACAAGCTTTAAAACAAGTTCATTTATAAATAAAACTTTCCATTTCTGAAATTCTATCATTGGGTAGTCCATAGCCTAATTCCACTAACTAAACTTAAAACTAAAATCTCAAGCAATAACCGGAATAGACCAGTGAATTAGGGGACACCTAGCTGACTTTCTATAAACTGTATGAAATGAACACCAAATTTCTATAAGAAAGCTGATAATTGCACAGGGCTGTGATAGTTCTGAAACGGATTTTTGAAACAACACTGAAAAAATTATCTTCACTTACTTAATTCCTGAAACTGTAAATAAGATTTTTTCTGGGGAAAAAAAGGTACTTTAAACAGGACAAAATCTAAAAATAGTAGTAGAAATGCAAGGTAGCCACAAAGCGTCAGCTTGAACAACAGCTTGGCCTTAGCTTTTGGTAGGTGCTCTGTCACACAGCCACGAACGCTGTAGGCACAGTGTTCTATCATCGTGAAGGAAAAGAACCCAACTCAAGACTTTGCTAATTCAAGCTCAAAGGGAATAATACTCACAAGGTCATGTAATTAGGACAATATGCACACACAGAGAACATATTCAAGATGACTACCAAATACTAACGACTATGCTGAATTTTAGATACAACTGTGCAAGATAAGAAAGCAAAGGCTCTTCATAGAGGAATGTTAGATTATTTTCCGAAGTCCTGGCTACTTACAATTTTTGCTATCTTCTTTACTGAGTTTTCTCACCAGGAGGAAAATTACATTTTTTTCTACTTTACACCAAAAAAACAACACAAACAACAAAGAAGAGGAGCTTCTCTTGTTTATGAATTGTGTCACACACCTTTCAGAGCCAGCCTCAGCAGTCTGGCGTCTTCTGTTTGTCCTGGCTGACGCTGTCACTTTTCTCCGACCTTAAAGACAGTAGAACTTATGGTCAAAATTAACTGTTTAACGTTCCTAGACCTTGTGTCTAGGCTATCTTACTGCTTTATTTTCAAAACTCTTCTTAAACACATACCAAAATGCCAGAGAAAAAGAACTCAAGCAAGATCAAAATTGACATTAATTTCATTTCTTTGTTGAGCTGCTTAGGGCAAGGGAAAATCCTACATGTACATTATAAAGAGGCAAATTTTAGCTCAATGTGGAACAGAAAAAGCATATTACAAATTTCTCAGGCATGGTAGTACACAACTGTATACCCAGCATTTGGGAGGCTGAAGCTGATCTATTTAGGGAGACGCTGTTTCAAAAAAGCCAATAATGAAAACCAAAATAAACACAGCATAGGAAAGACTCATGGAAAGATTTGGTCTCTGAACAGATCTAAAAGTACTAAGTAGAACTTCATTTTTGTTTTATTTAGTTTTCTTCAAAGTCTCACAAAACTGTTTGAAAATTCTTATTTTTCTGGAGCAGCAAGCAAGGAATACAGTCACGTGTCACCACATCCACTTGGAAATTAAATGTAGTCAAAAGAATGGCCTCTCACAAAATACTTAAATGTATGTATGTCCAATTCATATACATATTCTAAAATACATTTCAATGTAAAAATTAGAACCTTTATATACTGAGTGAGGGTGACAAAAACTGTACATGCTGGAAAGTGGGGAAAATCTGGTCCGTGATGTTCTTCAATTGTTAGAAATAAAATACAGTACGCATCATGAAGTTTAGATTGCTGGTTTGTTTTTTGTTTTTTTAAAGCATGGAGTTCTTATAGGATATTATGTGACTAAACCAATCTGATCCAAACCAATTTTCATTTGACAATTTGTTTGGAAAACTATATACCCTACTCATTTTTACCCCTCAGACCTCATATATTGTTCTCACTAATGTATTTATCCTCAAGGTGTCCAAGAATCTGGGACTAATTTGGAACAATATCCATTAATTGGTGCTTGAATAAGTGGTTTGTTATGAAACATTATGGTCAGATTCTATTTTAGAAAGTAAATTAAATCTGCTTAGAAAAGAATCTAAAAACATGTTTGGAAGATTAAAATCTTGGTTGGCTCATGGACAGGATTATTAGCATTCTTTATGGTAGTTTGCTTGGATGTACTTTCTGACTCTTCTGTAATAAGCATGCATTATGTTTTTGTAATTCAGAAAAATAAAATAATAAAAAGATTGTGGATTTCAGATCTTTTTCCAAGTGGTCCCCTAAGTAGTAAACATTTATTTATTCCAACAAATCTTCCATTAATGGTTATCCCTTGGGAAGTAAGTTCCATTGGGAAAGTATGAAATTAGATGAGAAATGGAAAAAAAACAGAGAAAGAACAGAAAAGTACTAAGGAAAAAAAAAATGTTCAGTCACACAAAGAAAGGATTGTTTAACCTATTCTTTTTCTTTTCTTTTTTCAGTATCAGGATTTGAACTTAGAGCCTTATACTTGCTTGACTTGTATCCTACCTCTTAAACCACATCTGCCAACATGGCTAGTTTGGAGATGAAGTCTCCAAACCTTTTCTGTCTGGGCTGGCTTTGAATCTGGATCCTCCAGATCTTGGCCTTCTAAGTAGCTAGGGTTACAAATGTGAGCTGCCAGTGGTTGGCTTTTACCTTTTCTTAATTTAACCCAAATGGTCCTTTTACTATTTACAAGTGATCTTTTATATAATATTTCCATGAATCGGAAGTACCTGCATTAATGTCTCTAGAATATGCAAAAAAATTATGTATAGCCTAACAAGCAAAGATTAAAAGAAAGCTAAGGAGATCTAAAACATTTAAATCTTTACTCTTAAGACACTTAAAAATCTCTGTCCTAAGGAGGGAACTTCAAAAGCATTTTCACTGGAAGACAAATAATGTTTCATTACAAGCTCTAGACACATACACTACCTCGGTTAGTCCTTTGCTGTGTGGATTTTGATGCTTTTGTATCCCTCAAAGGAGTCATATATGCTTCTTTATTGTCTTCTGTTAATGAAAATCATACAATGTAAATTTTTAAAAGACCAACTTCATGAAATACTTTTCATCTTTCATCAAAGACTGGCAAAATATTATCAGCTACTGGTAATAGATAAATAAATCTATTAGATAAATAAACTAAAGAAGTACTGGTTATCAAAAAACAGAGCTCCAAAAACTGTGAATACTTAGGAATGGAAACTGCTAGTTCTAGTGACATGTACAAATACAAAGGACAGTAATACTCCTTCCAAGGTGGATTCAATGGAAAAAAGATGCTCTGAGATCTAGCCACAGATGTTTAAAAAAAAAAAATCTCAACAAGTTTAGAAACAGCATCACACAAACATTCACGCTGCCATGCTATTACCATCTTCATCTTCCTGCGGAGGAGCAGGTACAGTGGCGCTGGCATCCTGTACTTCTATAGGTTGGTCATCAATTTCTTTGTTTCCTTTCTCTAACTGAATCTTGATCTTTTCCAAAGCTCTCAGGCATGTTCTATCTTTAACTTGCTATTAAAGACAAAACATTTAAACACAAACATTTTCTAATCTTTTCTAAATTATATGCAAATATGAAGAAGTTACAAAATATTCTAAAAGTATAGGAAACTTATGAAAGACATTTTAAATGAACTACAGTTAGGGTGAGTGCCATGGCTCAAGATGCATTGTACCCATAAACTGACATGTTATATAGTAAACCCTTCGTACAGCCACTTAAAGACAATGAAAGTATCATTACAAAATAAAATAAGCAAAGTCACGATCAAATAGATTCTACTTGGATATATTTGAAGACAGGTTAGACAGTAATTAGGAACTATTTTACCTCCAAAATCTCATTCAAGAGAACCAGAAGATCTTTGGAAATACTGCTACTTAATTCTAAAGAATTCAAAGCTTTCGTATAGATCCGAATTTCTGGTGAGCATGGACTTGTTAAGATCTCATTACAGATTTTCACAGCCAAATTGTCATGTACTGTTAAAGCCTAGAAAATTAAAAGAGAAGATGTAAAATGAAAATTATATGGATACAATATAGTTCTACCCATCTGAAGAAACATTCCCAACTCCAAGTCATAATCTAAAATGTGAAGTATTTAGAACAAAACTTAACATTAACTGTCCCTTCTCCCCAATAAAACTCCTTTCTAGATGGACTGATTGACTGACGGATGGATAGATGGTACTAGACAATGAATGCAGGGCTAGGCCCCAGCCCTTTTGGTTGTTTTTGAAAGAAGGATTCACCAACTTTGCCCAGACTGGCCTTGCTCCAGCAATCCTCCTGCTTAGTGGGCATGTACCACCAAGCCTGCCTGCTACTTCATTTCCAGAAGCTAATATAAGGCTAATCTACTGAAGGGACTGAAGTGTCTCCCAATTGCTATGAGTCTTGGAGCTGAGTTCCAGCTTCAGAACCAATCCAGGCTGATGATAGTGGACTCTGCCCAAACCTAAGCTTTTTCCACGCGGGATCAGTGAACATGCAATAGCTGAGCAACCCGTGCAGACACCGTGGTGTAGCATGTCCTAGTCCTGCACAACTGAGAGGAATATGCCAGCTCTGGAACTCCCTGTCTCCCTGTGAATCACCAGTGGCCCCAGCTCACGTGGAGACTGAGAGTGGCCTTAGTTTCAGTTTTTTCCTTCACTGCTTCAAGACATTGATCGTAACAGTAAAGATCAACAGCTCATTCCTAGGAAGGCTTCTGTTGTCATTCTTACATTTGTGGAAAATTTCCATAGACTTCTCCAGCCTTCTCCTTTATTTCCTCTGACCGTTCCCTTCATGGGACTATCCGTGACCACAGCTGAATCTTTCTGATCAGCAGCTTTAATCCTAATAACCCTTTCATCTGAAGCCTGTATGGTTACTCATTAGAAATAAAGTCCACTTTACTGTCCCCTGACTTGGTCTTTAAAACATGCTTTGCATAGCTATCCACGGATACTATCTTTTCATTCTCACCAATTATTTCTCATTGCAAACAAGACCAAAGTATAAAACTACCAATGTTATATACTTTATTCTTATCATTAATTCTTGCCCTTCCCTAAAATCTAAAAGTTGTATTGTGCCTGTGTCCCTTGCCATATTTTGCACAGTATCTTTTATCATCCTTCAGTAGCACACGAGGTGGGAGGGAAGAGAGGGTGTGACAATGCTAGATAGGAGATGTACTCATGACCTTGCTCATGTAACTGTAACCCCTCTGTACGGTATTTTTATAATAAAAAACGTATTTTTAAAAAAGCAGAATATATAGTCACTGAATACCAACTAAATGTAAAAACCCAACAGCAATACTTTCAAGTTGGCATCTGAAATCATTAACACATTATAGTTCAAAAGTGTCTGGTGTCAAATCATGACCAAATTTCATTAAAGAACTGGTTTCAATAGGATGCAGGATTTAGAAATCCAACTGAAGATAAATTCGTAGGTCAATCTGTAGTTGACTTATCTTTTTCAAGTTAAAAACCAAAATAAGCTCTGTTCTTTGACCTGTCCTTCCCCATGTTGACAATAGGAAGTAAGCCAATATTTCAAGACTCAATGGGCCCTACAGTTTTATCTTTACCACCCACAGGCTCACAGACTCACTCACTTGGTAATCTTGGGAATTCTTGGCTTGAGGATTCAGTCCACTAGGTCTTGTCAGATCTACGAGCAACTCGGCAACATTCATGATATCTATTTCAGCTAAGGGAGATGATGCAGGCGCATTAGCCAGTGTTTGCAGAGTTGGAAGAAAGGCTTCTTCAAAGCACTCCTGGTTAATCCTATTGAAATCAAGTTGAAAGAATGTTGGCAGAACATTATTTTAAGAGGAAAAAGCACAATTCTAGAATATCTTTGATGTAAAACTCATGTGACAAAGTATATTTTCACCCACAAAAAAAGCCAAATAATTCAGGTAGATAAAAATCTATCTAAGTTCTCATTGCTTCATTCACTACTGAAATAGGAGAAGAGTATCAACAACAAGATGACACAGAGGTAAGATCTGGATTTGTCGGTATATGTCAGTACCTGCTGGCATACGCAAACATGGGGAAAAACACCCCCAGACAATGTCGGAGTCGAATGTCCTCTTCTGTCACCGGATTGTACCACAACAAGATGAGACGAGAAAGAATCCTGCTGCTGACCAAAAGCCCAGAAAACATCAGCTTGGCTAGGCCTTCCACTGCTCCTGTCCTGAGTTCAGAAACCTAACAGCAATGACAGTCATCAGAAGGAGTTTTGTAAAGTCTCAGGAGTCTTATTATCTGGACACATTAAGTGCAGAGACACACATGCCACATGCTTGCCACACACACAGGCATTCAAGGCACACGACAGCCTTGAGGTCAGAGACTTTCATTCACTCAGCCCTCTACTCTCAGAATATGTAGGGAATGGCACCAAGTTGGCTCTTTCACACATCTTGATAGAATTAAAGAATCATCCCAACAAATTGGCAGCACTGACCCCATTTGAGGTGAGAAACAGACGAGGGACAGTAATGACCTCTTTGAAGACTTACACTGATCAATCAGAACCAACTTTGCAAACCTTCCTGGCAGCAATGGCAATCCATTCAAAGTGAAGTGGTAAGAGTCTGAAGCTAGACAGAACTATAAGGCCTGAGAGCTAATAAAGCTTGTTATTTATGGCCAAGAGGACAGTTAAAAAAAAATCTAGGCTTTTAAAGTGAGATTTAAAAAAATAAAAATGAAGAAATCACTCCTCACCTCACTGTCTAAGAAATCCGAAAGAAGCTTTAGAACATTCTTGGCAGCGGTGGCCTCCTCGGCTTCTTTGACGTCCAGCTCATCATTACTGCGGATTTCTGCACCTTCACCTTGAGGAGCTTTGATGGTTTTAGTTTTAAATGGTTCAATTCCAAACGTCATCAGTTGGTCAAAGATTGACTTTAAAGCACTGATTTTTATTGTGACATCATCAATTTGCAAAACCTACAATGAAAGATTTCCCCCGCAAGAGTTCAGTAAAATGATGCAATTCTGTTCCTCCTGTATCAAATGAATTATCTATATTAGGGAAATTTAAGTGATATTATTTAAATGTACATACAATTCTTTCCGTACAACTTTAGCATTAAAATTTCAAGTTAAAAACAATGTAGATGGCTGAAGGCCTTGAGTTCAAGCACCCAAGTACACACAGCCCTCCAATACAGAAGTTTCAAAAGACACACTATTTATTTGTCCTATAACATCTGGAGCTATAATTTCCAATTTCCACTGAAAACAAACAAGCAAACAAACAAATGTGGAATGGAAATCTGGTTGAATAATTTGTTACTTTCATTTAAAAAAAAAGAATAGTATCTTCAACTGTGTTTTTATCTTTTTTTTTTTTTTTTTTGTGAAAACACCATACAGAGGGGTTATAATTACATGGGCAAGGTTGTGTTTTTATCTTATCATTTTTTCTAAGACACAGAAAAAGTTGTTACATCAAAATCATTTTGGCCTACCTATCCAGAAAAAGATACTACATTGTATACAATGAAAAGTATTTAGATCTACCTGAATATATTTCTCTTATCAGCTCAATAAACTCAGATTTCATCCATGGTGAATCTAGTTTGTTTTACTCCAAGTAATCACAAAAAAAGCCAGAAGTGGTGTTATAGCTCAAAGTGGTAGAGCAAAAGGAGCCCCAGGGACAGTGCCTACCCTCAGGACTGCTCCTCCTCCCCAAAAAAGACAGTTTAAAGCATGTAGAAGTTCTGTCTATGTTATATACTAATATGATGTCATCTTTTATCTGGAACTTGGGTATATGTAGATTTGGAACCCACAATGGTCTTGGAACCAGTCCTCTAGAGTATATGCCAAAGGTTGACTATATTTGGCAAAATTTCTTTAAAGATGTATCTTATTTGCTAGGCATCCATAAAAACCAATAAACTACAGAACAAAATAGCTAACAGAATCACAGATGCCTATACCTGCTGTTATAAAAATTAATAACTTTTCTGCAACACAAAGAAATTCATTCTTCATCTCGGAGTAAATCTAGATGTGTGGCCAGGAAATACAAATGATTCATCTGGACAAAGTACCAAGACTTCTAGTTCATTGGAAAAAGAAACTTCAGCCCATTAAGGATAATAGTGGCATTCCATGTTCCCTAAGGGGGCTCACAACAATACTATTTTCTTTGACAATCATAACGGAGAATACATCTAAGCAAAGACACACCAAAATCTCACAACTGAAATGAGTTGATTAGCTCCATAATCTTTCAGGAAATTAAAGCAAAACCCTGAAATTCCTGAGTTGTTGTTTGTTGTTTTTTTTTACATAAGTAGTTCCAATTTTATTTCCTTGGACAAAAGCCACAAATCAGTTGACCATTTCCAGAATATATGATAGCCCCAAGATCTAATTTCCTTTTCTTGGCAATGTCTAAAAAGAATGCTTCACGATTTTTTTTCCCCCAAAGGAAAACAAAATCCACTACTTGAGTTTAGCTTTTTAAAACAATCATTTCACAAACACCTGGTCCATGTTGTCAGTGATTTTCCGGCAACTAGTCTTCCTTAGCTTCCTTAATTTACGAGACTATTCCCTGCAGCTTTTTTATCTCATTACATCTGGCAACGCCAGAGGCTAGATGACGGGGATGAAAGTCATGCTTTCAACTTCTCTTAGCAGCACAAATGCTTCTTCACCTACATAGTCTGTCTCGTTCTCATTCCTGTATTAGTTATATATTTACATATATATTTAATTATGCTTATATTTATATACTTACAGCATAAATGCCTTCTTCAACTACATAGACTGTCTCCTCATTCCCATATTATTTACTTATATATCTACATATATATACATATATATATACATGCTTGTTTGTTTTTTAATTGGTGCCAGTACTAGGGCTACACATCAGAGTCTTAAGCTCTCTACTCAGCTTCATGCCCAGCTGGCACTTTACCACATGAGTCACGCCTCCACTTCCAGCTTTTTACAGGTTAACTTGAGATAAGAGTCTCTCAGATTTGTCCTAGGCTGACCTCAAACCACAATTCTCAAATCTCAGGTTTCTAGGTAGCTAGGATTATAGGCACCTGACTACTCTTTATTTTTATCTGACATATTGTAAAAGTCATATTTTTCCATCGCATGATTCCCCTTTTAGAATGTAAATTCCATTACCACAGCAACTTTTATCTTGTTTTCTTTTTCTACTGATTTACATACTTTTATTAAGCCTAGAACAGTGCCATTATGTGCACTATAATCAATCATACATGATTTTATGTGGCTGCGGTGCAAGTGGTACAGTCTAGAAAATATAACGCCCCAAGTTCATATCCCAGTATTGCCACCAAAAAAAATAATAAACAAATAAATAAATTGACATTTCATCCCTTTGCTATTAAGGCAGTTTTATGAGAAAACAAAAATGAGTCCCTACGATGTCTACAATCATCACCAATAAACATTTGAATAAGTTAGAATATTAGCATTACCATCAGAGGTAGAGCACTATAGGACCTTGAAATTTTTATCTACTAGTGAATCTTACCTGTAACAGTAACACCAAGTGTTTACTGGCAAAATCTTGATTCTGTAGTCCACAACATCCCAGACACAAAACAGCCAAATTCCTTACTACCGGATAAATACTTACTATTCCAGGAAGAATCTAAAATGAATTAGAAATTAATTTTGACACAGGCAAGAAATTAAAAATACTATACTGAAATCATGGCCGAAATGATCATTCCCATGTGATTTTATAGGTCTACATCATTTCCTTTTAGTCATTTAAGTCAATACTAAACAGTAAATTGATAAAACAGAATATAGTACAGTTTTCCTACAGTCAGATCACGAGGCTAAACTAATTCCAGAGGTTGCAACACTCACAGAACAGGAAATGCTGACTATGATATACACTACCCCTCAGATCTGTCTCACTGACACCTTAAACCATGCTATCCCTGCCCTTAGTCAGCTCCGCTGGTCTGACTTGAACACCTCTAATAGCTCTTTTTCACAGCAAGTGTCAATGGCAAAAGTGTTTTATTTAAGTATGTTTCCCTCATCAAGTTTCAATAGCAGCTGTCTTTACCAATTGTTATTTTGTATATACTTTGTTCCCAGCATTTACTATGGAATAACCATTCAATAAACATGTGCTCCCTCAAGAGTTTCTCACACAGCTGAAAGCTAGTTGTTCACACCTGTAATCCTACGTACTCAAGAGGCTGAGATCTAAGGATCATGGTTCAAAGCCAGTGTGAGCAGTTAACTCTGTTAGACTCTTATCTCCAGTAAAACTACCAAAAAAGCTGGAAGTGGAGCTGTGGCTGAAGTGATAGAGCACTAGCCTTGAGCAAAAGAAGACCAAGGACAGTGTCCAGGCCGAGAGTTCTAGCTGTAGGACTGACACCAAAAACAAAAACAAAACAAAAAAACAAAGGAAGACTTTATGATACTTTATTTAAAATAGAGTAACTTTATAACTACTATAAATCATTTATGCAAGTATCTTACTTATGTTCCTCTATTATGATCATTCAATTTTGGGTCCTTTCCTTTCTTAACATCGTGAAAGACTATGTAATGCTAAAAGGAGATAGATAGATAGGTAGGTAGGTAGATAGATAGATAGATATAGATAGAAAGACAGAGAGAGAGAGAGAGAGAGAGAGAGAGAGAGAGAGATTCATACTTTCATTCTTCAATTATGTAGTTAATTGTATTACCATTCTCTTAAAACATGACCAGACATGTAGTTCAAGTAGAATTTTTAAAGTATTACTTTTCACTAGACAGATTTCTCTAAAATAAGACTAAATTCCAATAGTTGAGTATAATATAGTGTATAACCAGAAGTTTCAGTTACAAACTGATTTTCTTTAATGACTTTAGAAACTCATGACAACCCAAAAAATTAGATTTCAGACTGTCTACTTCTCACTAATTAAATAATTTGAAGATGATCCTCTAAGTCTGAGTATATTCAGAATGAGCTGTGAATGAACAGTACCATCAAAGTAAAAGAAGTCCCAGCTAAAGGGTGGAGACACGGTGCCACTGGTTCACACCTGCAATACTGGCTAAGATCTAAGAATCAAAGTTTGAAGCCAATCTGGGCAGGATAAAGTCCATGAGACTCTTATCTCCAATTAACCACTAAAAAGCTGGAAGTGTAGCTGTGTCTTAAATGGTAGAATTCTAGCCTTGAGTGAAAAAGCTGAAGGACAGCACCTAGATCCTGAGTTCAAGCTTAAGTATTTCACACACACACACACACACACACACACACACACACACACACACACACACACACACACACACACACACACACACACACACACACACACACACACACACACAATGTTTGCTATCAAGTGCAAGGCCCAGAATTCAAATTCCATATGAAAAATAAAAGTTCCCATTATTGATAACTTTAAGATGGGAAATCTGCCGGAGCCCAGGCCAACCTGATAACTTAGTGAAACTTCATCTCAAAAAAATTTTTTAAAAATGAACAGCAAAATATGGCATTATTACTCTAGCCTCTAGTCACTCACAGTTACTAAACATCTGAAATATAACTAGTCTTGAGATGTCTTCTAAAATTTAGTGTAAAAACAATAAAAAGCTATTTCATATTTTAATACTAAATAAATGATAAAGTCATAATAATTTAGCATGTTCAATGAAAATATGTTTGGGCATATTATATATATATATATACATATATATATATATATTAAAATTAACTTTACCTTTTTTCTTCCTACTTTTTAAAATGTAGTTACTGTAGACTTAAAGTTACATTTTAAAAGACCTTTAAGCCAGGCATCAGTATGCCTGTAATCCTAGCTACTCAGGAGGCTGAGACCTGAGGATCATGGCTCAAAGCCAGCCTGGGCAGGAAAGTCCGTGAGACTCTTATCTCCAATAAACCACTAGAAACCCAGAAGTGGCATTGTGGCTCAAGCGGTAGAGCGCTCACCTTGAGCTGAAGAGCGCAGGGACAGCACTGAAGCCCAGAGTTCAAGCCCCACGACCAACCAAAAAAAAAAAAAGACCTTTAAATATAACCAAGAATGATAGGTCACATCTGCATTCCTAATTAGGAGGCTGAGATTCAGAGGATCACAATTAAAGAAAAGTCTGGGCAAAATATTGTGAGATCTTCATTTCAGCCAACAAAAAGCTGGGCATGGTGATTTTCATCTGTCATCCGAGCTACTCAGAAAGTGTAAATAGGAGTATCATAGCCCAGGCTGTCCCAGGTATAAAGCAAGATCCTTTTATTCAAAAAACAATGAAAACAAAAAGGGCTGAAGGTGTAACTCAAGGTAAGCTTGCCTAGCAAGAGTGATGTCCAGAATTCCAATCCCAGTACTGCCAAAAAAAAATTAAAATAAAAACATAATAAAGTTATACAGGAGTCACAATGTAACTTTGAGTCTTTTTATACAGCACTATTCCAGTAACAGAAAATATTCTCTTACTCAAGGATAAAGATATTCTGCATCTATTTCTAGTAAAATGATTTTTCAAATCTTTTTGAGTGATAACTTATGTCTTAGCTCCTTTACACAGACTATCTTATTTAATCCTCACAGGAAATAGCTAATCTAGGTATCTACCTACTTTATCATTTGTAATTCATCAGATGATCAAAATAATAACACTTTCATTCTGTTGAACCCTAATAAGCAGGTTATAACATGAAGCAGAATGTGGCTAAAATGAAGCCTCAAGTGAATAAAGCCATCAACATACCAAAGATTCAATGATTCCATTCATGGTCGCACTGATCCCAGTAGAAATGGACATCTGCTTCAACAGTTCATAGCACAGAACAAGACACTTTTGTAGTGTCTCCACATCATTCTAAAATAAAGACAAAACATTCAGAAACAGTAAGAACATCTTCTGCACAGAACTTAAAGATGTATTTTTTTAAGGGCTTGTTTAGGGTGTATGACAACTCCCTACATACTCCCCTTGGGTCTGATAAGTCAGACACCTGATTTCCCCATCTCTGTGCTGACTCAGCCATTTTCTTAGTTACAGGTTCATACATAAAACAACTGTAATATACTTCCTCTTAGTCATTTCATGGGCTCTTCCAACTCAAAATGTCCACAATGGAAATGATCCACAGATTTTGTTAAAAAAAAAAAAAAAAAAAAAAAAAGAAGCTACCAGTTATAAAAATAAATTCAGTCACTCTTACTAAGAAACTGTCATGTTGGAGTGAGGTTTCAAGAGAAGCTAAGAGTACAATTCAGGAAACCCTCTTAGATAGCAAACTTTGCTATTCGGTATTTTTTTTAATTTTTCTTTTTCTTTATTATAAAGGTAATGTACAGAAGGGTGACCATTTCATAAGTATTGAGTACATTTCTTTTTGGACAACTTCACCCCTTCCTTTACTCTCTCCCACTTTTTCCCTCCTATCCCACAAGTTGTATGTAGTTTGTTTTCAATATAGTATCTAGTGAGCACCACAGCTACATTTTATTCAGCATTTTCTTTTTTTCTTTTGGTTGTAGGGCTTGAACTCTGCACCTGGGTGCTGTACCTGAGCTCTTCTGCTCAAGGCAAGCTCTCTACCACTTGAGCTACAGTGCCACTTCCAGTTTTCTGGTGGTTAAATGGAGATAAGAGTCTTACGGACTTTCCTGCCTGGGCTGGCTTTGAATCATGATCCTCAGATCTCAGCCTCCTGAGTAGCTAGGATTATAGGCACCCAGCTCAGCATTTACTTTACAAGAATACTCTAGTGAGCAATCCTCAAACCAAAAGTACAGTAGATTCAAACAATATTAATTGAGATTAGGCATGGTAGTACACACTTGCAATGCCAGCTACTTCAGAGGCTGTTCAAGATCAAAACAGGGCAAACGCACTAAACCCTTTCTAAAAAGTAACTAAAGCAACTAAGGGCAGGAAACATAATGGCTCAAGAGGTACAAAGCCTCTTGCTTGCAAGAGCCTGCAGAACTTAGTCCTGAGCAAAAATCCCCATACTGCCAAAATGTGTGTATGCGTGTGTGCATGTGTTCATGTACGTATATTATTGATAACAATTTATTTTAAGAGAAGCAATGAAAGAAATAATCTGTTTAAGAGACTAATTTATTAAGCAAAAAAAGGCTACTAGAGTGAAGTGTTACTAGATATCAAGATTAGTATTTGATTAAAAATAACAAGGATGTTTAGCTTTTGCTAGACACCAAGTAACCATGATGCCAAGGTTACCACAGATGTAATTCCTAGCAGTGGAAAGATCAAAGGCCTTCCACAAGTACGGAATGAGATGCATTTTCCTTGCTTAATTATTAAAGGCAAATACACAAATAAATTCAGAAGGAAACCACTAGAAAACTAGTTTCCCTCACATCGGAAAAAAGACTTCAAATTCCAGGGACTGGAAAGATAAGGGAACAAATAGTTGTAGCTACGATACTCAAAATACGTTAAGGTCCTTTTCAAAGTCCAAAAATAGAAACAGGAGAAATAAATTTTTAAAAAATATTTAATTCATATTGCTGTCACAGTCTCCAAAGTGAATAGATTTTCAGCTTTTTGAGTTAAAGAAAGCAAGATTCAGTTAAGATAGTAACAATTGAGATTTAGTATGAAAAAAATGATTTTACCTTCTCTGTTTGGACTTCTTTAATTTCAAGTTGTTCTGTTTCTTTCAACAGCTCTACTTTGGCATTTTCCAGTGCTCTTATTTCTTCTTTTAATTTTGATGCCTGATCAAAATCTTGTAAGGTAATACAATTTTCCAAAGCTTCTTTCGCTTCAATAAGTTTAACTTTTATTTCAGCCACCTAAGGAAAAATACAAATTAATCATATCAACACCAGACAAAAATTACTAACACAACAATCTGTAGCAAAGTCAAGAGTATTACTACTTCAATGACCTAGAATTTAGGAGTCAAACATAAAACAAAATTTCAATCGTCCAGCAACAGGGATCAGTCACCCTTGAAGAGTAACATAATTCAGTAACATTTTGTAGACCTTTATATAATATTTACTCGATAATCTGATTTTTTTAAACCACACAACAAGAAATAGATTATGTAGCTACATTACCAAAGCCTTTCTTTAATATAGAAGAAACATACCTTGAGTTCTTTTTTTCTTGTATCAGATGGATTAACACTAATCGTAACAATGGGTGCACGAATCTCTGAGATAATTTCTGTAACCTGGTAAGCAAAATTACAAAGCTTTAACACGTTATATCAACAAATAACCAAAAAGTGCTATAGAAAACAACAAGCCGTATCTGCCATCTACTGAAAACCAGAGAAAATAACAGGTAAAAGCACATAATCTGTTTGCAAGACTTTAGAACCAAAACTGAACAATGCATCTCACTACAAAGTGAAATTATTTGAAAGGAAGGTGAGTAGGTACGTATTTGTTGAAGATAAATTATCCCTCATATAATGTTAGAAAACTTGAAAAAAAAATTATGCTGCCTAAGATTAGCTGTTATAATCTAAAATTCTCTGCATATGGTCTACAGTTTGGCTCTTCTAATAAACTCACTCCTGCCTGAACTATGTGGCAGTCTCCTTTCAACAACCCTTACACCTACCACTTTCAATTCCTCTCTTGTTCAGTTCTATACAAGTTTACATATATATTTTTTTGTATTTTTTCCTTTGGGCACATAATATACACCTAATGACAATGTAAGGCCTTTCACAGGCTACTAAGAAGGGATGTTTTTCCAGGGTCCCTCTCATATGAAAATACCTAAGCAGTTACTGGACAAGCACTATGTGGGAAGTGTTCAAAAAAAGATATACATAAAACATGTTCATACAAGGAGCAGTTAGAATAACTTCTGACTTAACCTATAAAATATCACATCATGTTTTTATGAAAGAACAACACAGATCTCTCTTTTATCTAACTGGGGAGGGGAGGGTGGTGGTGGGGTAACACTTGACACAGTATAGTGGTTACAATTTATTTCTGTATTTACCAACAGTTTATGAACATCATCTCACTGAAAAACAAAAGGTAGTTCATTGTTCCTTTGCAGATGAATACAAAAGGCTAAATAACTTATCAGAAGTCAATGCAGACAGAATGAGACATAAACCAGCTCTCAGCACACAGTGCCCAAAGTCTCATGGGCAAACCTCTATCCTACCAGTCACTCCTTCCATATCAGGTGGCAGACACCTGATATAGACCTGTTTGTAGGCACATGTGAGAAGGAAAACACTTTTTAAATGTACGTGTATACACATACCCCACAGAGAGAGGTATCTGGTTTACAAATGTCATACACCTCCTATCTTTATCAAGGAGGAAAAGCACTTACAATCTGTGTCCTCTTACTGTCATCTGTGATGATGTGGAGTAACCTTTCAACAAGCAAAGAAACCAGGGATATTGGCGTTGTGGGTAGTGTCAGAGTCTCCTGCAAAATAGCCACCAGTCGTTTCCTGTGGGCAAAAAAAGCCTTTTATTTAACTTATTTAATATCACTCTGCACACATACATTCCACCTCTAACATGTCTCTTACTCTACAGACTTTGTCTTGGGTTTTTTTAACTTGTTTCCTTATGTCTCATATTTGTGTGTCACTACAAGTAGAAAAATCCCTAAGTACAGAGTTTTGTGTGTGTATGGTCCTAGGGTTGTCCCTGAGCTTTTTTGCTCATTAGCACTCTACCACTTTAGACACAGCTACTCTTCCGGCTTTTGGGGTAGTTAATTGGAGATAAGAATCCCACAGGCTTTTCTGTCTTCTGGCTTTCCCATGATCCTCAGATTTTAACCTCCTGAGTAGACAGAATTATAGGTATGAGCCACCAGCACTCAGCCCTCTGTATAGTCTTGGAGCAAAAAAATTAATTTTGTTTTTAAAAAAAGTATATATTATACCCTCTGATATTTAGTAAATCAACATGAAAAAGCAACAAAATAACAGAGAAGAATCAACCAACAATAGTAGTACTTGGCTTCTCTGAAATAAGAGATTTTTAAGAAAAACACTGATACTATCCATTTATTGTGAAGAAATTGTACTATGATCATGTGTCTATGTATAAACATACAAATACCATCATGTGCCATAGAATTCTTCAGGTAGCCTAGCATAATAGTGTTACACCTATAATCCCAGTACTCGGGAGGCTAAGGCCAGACAGCTGATTTGAAAGGCAGCCTGGGCTACAGACTAAGTTCCAGGTTCGCCTGGGCTATAGGGCAAGACCTTGTCTCAGAAACAAAAAATTACATTTCAGTCAATGACAGGCTGCACATAACACTGGTCCTATGAGAATATTATAGACCTAAGACACCATAGCCATAGAGATGTTGAAGTTCAATGCATTACTCTTGTGATACAGGTATGAAACAAACCTACTGCATTGCCATACCTATCAAAGCAAAGCATATGCACTAAGTCACAGTGCTTAATAATGATAAACGAATGCTATTGCTTTATGTGATACTCTTTTTCTGGTGGGGAGAGTGGGGAACAGTACTGGGGTTTTAACTCAGAGCTTCATAATTGCTAGGCAGGTATTCTAATACTTGAGCTACATCACCAGCCCTGTTTGCTCTGGTTTTTATTTTCTTTGGCAGTAACTAAGGGCTCTGTGCTTCTTAGCCACTTTTACCATGAGCTACACCTCAGTGGTTACTTTTGAACTATGGTCACACTTCCTACCTAGGCATCAGATTCACATCATAGTGAGGAGAATGGGCCCAGCCTCTGCATCCAGCCCTTTTGCTGAGAAGAGATCTCTCAAACTTTCCTGCCTGCGCTTGCTTCAAACCATGATCCAATCTCAGCCCCCCAAATAGCTAAGATTACAATGTGAGCCACCAGCACCTGGACCTAGTTACTCTATTTTTACAACAAGGTTTCACATTTTGTCTAGGCCAGCCTGGCAAACTATTTCTGCTGGGATGACAGATGGGCACCATCTCGCCTAGGTTCATCTGTTGAGATGAGGTCTTTGGAACATTTTGTCTAAGTTGTTCTTGAACTGCATTCTTCCCTATATCCACCTCCCAAAATTATAGATAAGATGCAAGCGCACTTAGCACTATACTCTTTATCTTTAGAATATACTACTTCTACTTATTAAAGTTTATTACAAAAAAAAAAAGCATAATACCTTGGCAGCAGTCTCAGGTCATGTTTATAATCTCTTGATTTTACCAAGAGGTCACAACCTGGTCCACCCTATCTAGGCTTGTGAATGCATACACGCCAGCAAAATCACCTAACACCACATTTCTAGGATTCCTCAACCCATGACCTGTCATTAAGTGACGTATGATTGTGTGTGTGTGTGTGTGTGTGTGTGTGTACTATAAAAGAAGGAAGCAGAAGCACTTTAGAATATTACAGTAAATCCATTTAATTACACTGTAGCAAGACTGTATTTTTAAGACTAAAGAATAAATTAGAGCAAGTGTTAACATTTAGACATACCGTCCTCCTTCTTCACTAGTATCCAAAGACTTGATCATTAGAATCAACTGCTGACCAATGAACTCCCTTGTCATCAAGTTTCCAATGTACGAAAAATCATTTCTCTGTTCCTCGTCAACTGCTGGAATGCTCTGGATATAACTAAAACAAACAGAATTAATAAAGTAGAATGTGTTATCAAATAACAAGTAAGAGTTAATTCCCACCAATCAGAAAAGGGTCTTCTTCAGTTTATATTAGTCCAAATACTACATATTTATATCTTGTAATAAGTTGATAATATTGTAATAAACTTTAGCAAATATTTAGAAATTGTACTTATATTAATAATTCAAGTTTTCTCTTGAAAATATTCAAAAGATCCTTTACTTATCTCAGAAATGTCTGACTATTTCAATGTGTCAATGTGTCTTGCAGTCTTCCAAACTCTGCATTTCTTGTCTAAAAATCCAATTAGTCATAAAGGTCTAATCTTTCCTCATGGAGAATCATGATCATTCTTTTCTTTGAAATGATAGTACTACTACTAATTTACACATTGTGTTCCGCTGCTTGAGTACTAGCATGGCGGGGTGAGTCATTGTGACAGGGCTGGTATGATCAGCCAGGAACCTAAAACACGTACTACCTGGCACACAAAAACAGTTCAACAAATTTCAAAAAGTAGCACATCATCATCAAGTTGATGGAGAAATGAGAACTAGCATACGCACACTGACGGAAGCCACTGACTTAGTGCTTTTGGGCACTGTAAGCACCACAGGATCCTTTAGGAACATTCAGTGCCATCTGCACCAACAGTGGCTGTAAATAATTTCCAACTGGGCATGACCATGAACAAGAGGCCTGAGAGACCAACACACACGGCAAGTAGTGAAAACAAAAGAGAAAAAGTACCTGAGTAAATACTCTGCATATACTACAGTCTCCGGCAAGATCTGCTCTAAAAACTCTTCACCTTCATCTCCTTTTGATTTCAAGTAATCGCAGAGGGCACGCCAATATAAAGCAATTTCAGGAGTTAATGTTTCCACAGGGATCAATTTCCTTCGTTTAAAAGGAAGAGAATAAGAGAAAACATGATCTTATATCCCGTTAAAAAGGGGAACAAGAATGAAAATAAGCACATTTGATTTATAAATACCAGTGTTTTAATTATAGCCATTAGCTACACAAAAGGAAGTGGGAAGGAAAAAAAAGGAAACTACTTAAAACCAAAAGAAGAGAAAAAAGGGAAAAATTCAAATGATCAAACACAATAACAGCCCATGTTTTTCTCACAGCAGGCTAATGTAGAAATCAAGAGGGGAAAGGGAGAGAATACAACTAATGTAGACAATGTATGATAAAGTACCAAGTTCTTATGCCAAGGTGAGAAACACAAGGGAAAAGTAAAGAAAGGGGGGACAGATCAGAGGTTCTGATATAATCTGAAGGAAAAACTGATTTTAATTGGAAATCATCAGCAGTAAAATTCCAATAATGAACCTTTTATGTACCTGTCATCATTATTTTTACAGATCTCCACAAGTTCAGTGAGAGGAGTCACTACAAATAAAGCATTGAGAACAGAGACTGCCACTTCAGAAGAATTTTCTACATCCAACCTATGAAGCAGCTCCAAGATATTTCCTTCAGTGAAGCGTAACCAGCCTTGGAGAAGATGCTTCTGCATGGCTTGCTTCACAGCATCTGTGGAGAGTCATTTGCAAATATATAAACAAAAGCTCCCCCTAGCTGTTATTTCCTATATTTCATCTGTTTTAATTTTATTAGATTAATGTTAATATAACGTTGAAACTTATAATACTAATAGAGATTACAGTGAGAACAAAGCACACTAAAGGTAATAAAAACACAAGAAACAACACTACAAGTCCTGATGATGCTTACTTCCAAACATAAATGGATCAGGTTCAGTACTAAATGCCTAACCTCTACCAGTCTACAAAAAATCTGTATTCCCTCCTGCCTGGACTTAATGGGCATCAGAATACATAGTATTTATCTCACTTGTTGCCTGACTTCACTTATTGTAAGAATGCTATTTACAGTAGTAAATTACAGCAAACAGATATCACTGAACAGATGTTATTCTTAGCCCTTCAGACCATCCCAGTCATTAGAGTTTCAAACTCAAGTTATCTTTTTTCTTTTTCTTCTTACTACAGCAAAATGAGCCATCTTTGCCTTTTCATGGAAGATAAAACTTGAAAAAATATCATTACTACATGCAGATTCTCTAGTTTAACAGAAAAGGGCATCAGAAGATTATACTGGTCTCACACTTCTTATTTCTGATGCAGAGAAAACATTTATGTTAAGGTACATACACACAAGGATAGTTTTTGTTTGTTTTTGGTGTTAGTCATTGGGCTTGAACTTAGGGCCTAGGCACTAACCCTGAGCAATTTCTGCTCAAGGCTAGTGCTCTACCACTTGAGGCACAGCTCCACTGTCAGCTTTTTGGGTGGTTAACTGGAGATTAAATTTTCACAAACTTTCCTGCAGGGGCTGGTTTCGAATTGTGATCCTCAGATCTCAGCCTCCTGAGTATAACTAAGATTATAGGAGTGCACCACTGGCAACTGACTAGTATTTTTGTTTTTAAGGAAGAAAAAAGGCTAAAAGAGATGGTCTTACTTCTGACATTAACTCACTCTACAGGATTAAGAACAGCTCCTCTCCATCAAACACCAGCAGGCTGAAAAGAATTCCTATTCCTTGAAGATAACCAAGACCGGGGCTGGGAAGGTGGCTCAGTGGTAGAATGCTTGCCTTGCATGCATGAAGCCCTGGGTTTGATTCCTCAGCACCACATAAGCAGAAAAAGCCAGAAGTGGCGCTGTGGCTCAAGTGGTAGAGCACTAGCCTTGAGCTGAAGAGCTAAGGGACAGTGCCCAGGCCCAGAGTTCAAGCCTCACACAGACAAAAAAAAAAAAAAAAGATAACCAAGACCTTTAACCAAATGAAATATTTTTATATGTTATACACCAAGACAAATTTTATCAAGTTTATGGGAATGATAGCCTTACTCAGTCTCATTTATGGTATGATACTGTTTCCTAAACCTTATTAAGTCTGACTTCAAAAGTCTACCTTAGGGCTGGGAATGTGGTGGTAGAGTGCTTACCTAGCATGCATGAAGCCCTGGGTTTGGTTCCTCAATACCACATATACAGAAAAAGCCAGAAGTGGTGCTGTGGCACAAGTGCTAGAGTACTAGCCTTTAGCAAAAGAAACTCAAGGACAATGGCAAGGCCCTGAATTCAAGCCCCAGGACTGGCCAAAAAAAAAAAAAAGCTACTTTACCTGATCTGTCATTGAGACCCTGTTGAAGGAGCATTACTCTCTGAGCAATGGACATCGCTCTCATATGAACTTTTTCAGCTAAAACCTTAAAAAGACAATGAAATGGGGTCATTTACCTCAACTCAATGTATAGAATTCTTACTTAGTAACATAGCAATCATCTTAGAAAATTAACTAGAGTCTCCAAAAAATTTTCTGTAAACATATTTAATACAATAGAATTCTATCTAAATTACCTACTATCTCCAAATAATCTACATTGCACAAATCACTATGTGCTAAGTAATTTTCACAAGTACCTTAAGAAAACATGGCTATGTAAGTAATTGGACTTTCATACCTGATAAGCCAACTTCCTGACAGTCTCTTTCACATCTTTGGTGCGCTCTACAATCTTTGACAAAGTCTTGGCTGATGGTGCGATACATGATAACACTGCTCTCCTAACTTCTGGATTCAAATCATTTTCAATCAAAGTAGTATATGCTAAAAGTAAAGTAGTACAATTTAATTCCACAGAAATACCTTAATAATAGTCATAAAATAACTCATATTCTGGCATTTTTTGATGTTTCAAAATAATAAAGACAAGATACTTCTGGTCTTACACATCTGCCTTCAAATCAAAATTTTTTCTACCAAGTTCCCTTTCAAGAACAGAATGAAGTATCAGGAAATTGACCAGAAAGGAAGACTAAAACTGTCACAACCCTGAAAGCCACAAGAAACTTTGTTTTATTTTTTATTTACTTTTATTCTTTTGGTGCTGTCCTGGGGCTTGAACTCAGAGCCTGGGTGCTGAGTGCCCTAGCACTTGAGCCACAGCTCCACTTCCAACATTTTTTGGTGATTAATTATAGGTAAGTCTCATGGACTGTACTGCCTGGGCAGGCTTTGAATTGTGGTCCTCAGATCTTAGCCCCCTCAGTAACTAGGATTGCAGGTATAAGCTACTGGCCAGCACCCAGCTGAGAAAGTTTATTTTCTTCAGATCTGTTATATTTATAAGGATCTATTATTTTGATTTGGGGAAGAGAACGTTTGTACTCAAAGCCTCTTTCTGAGAGCCTCATACATCTCATGATTTCACCAAAGAGTTATACTGAGGGTGATACCTTCTATCATCCATCATAGTTGTCCAAGTACACTCTGTGATGTTCCCAGAACAAAAATTACCTAATGACATATTTCTCAAAATGTAAACTCATTCCTTACGCAAGGTATGATGACTATATAACCTGCTGCTAAATATACGAGAAGAAAGGTAACCCTGGAATGAACTGTGTATACCATCAGATTCTAGAAGCAGTCATATTAAACACTGGAGAGGATAGGGACCAATGAAAAATGTTATCACCTCTTACTAATTTTAATTGATAAATCACTCTGTAGATTTACCTGTACCTAATCTAATAAAGGCAAAGCCCTATATACATAACAATTCTACATTTAAGCAAAATCCTACAAAAGTCATTTAACTTGTGCACCAAGAAAATTCCAAACACTATTTTTCAAAGCAAATTATCTAGATATAACTAGAGAGCCTTCTAATTTTAAAAACAATAGACTGTTGGCTGGGAAAACTAAGTTTATTCCTGTAATCCTAGATACTTGGGATGTGGAGATCTTGGGGATCATGGTTCAAAACCAGCTGAGAACTCATCACTACCAATGAACTGGATGTGATGGTACATGCCTGTGATCTCAACTATGCAGGAAAACACAGGTATGAGTATTATAGGCTCAGAAAAGCTGGGTTAAAAAGACACTATGTGAAAAATAACTACAGCAAAAAAGGGCTGCCTCAATCTGATAGAAAATCAAGCTAGCGGGGCTGGGAAGGTGGCTCAGTGGTAGAGCGCTTGCCTTGCATGCTTGAGGCCCTGGGTTCGATTCCTCAGCACCACATAAGCAAAAAAGAAAATCAAGCTAGCTAGGGCAAAGCCCTAAGTTCAAAAACTGCCAAAATATAGTAATAATATAATGATAGTAATAATGGTAAACAGTTAATATCATATAACAATGAGATAACATAGCAAAAACTATGGATGAATGCTAGAATTAGAAATTTTTTTGAGAAAAAGTCAGAAAAATATAGTATGATTCACATGAAATTATAGGCAAAACATTAACATTTAGATGGATGTGTGATTAGGGAACTTAATTAAAACTTAAGAAAAAAGAAAATTAACCCAGTATTGATTATATTTACCTCTGAGTGAGACAGAGAGAGAGAGAAAGAGAGAGAACCAAAGCAGACCTCAGAAGTCCTGATAATAATTTGCTTTTTAAGTTATTAGGAAGTTGTAATGTGAGTATTCTTCTACCTTAAATATATGTATGTATGTATATATATATATATATATATATATATATATATATAAAGTTAATAACAACTGCTGAGGAGGAATTAACAAAACCAAGACTGAAACAATTATTGGAACACCACACATACCATTAACCACTGGGCACTCATCATCCTTGGGATCCTGGAGTCGAGAAAGAGCCAAAACTGCCTGTATTCTCACATTTGGAATCTTATCTTTCGATCTAATAAGCATAGCTTCCATAATTTTATCAAACAAATCATCATCGATCTGGGCATTTTCTGGCATACTTCCCAGAAGCTTGTTTATGAGTTGGCATACTCTAAACCTGACCGCGTTGCTGTTTGCTTCATGAGACTACACAAAACAAAGCAAATGTTATTCCTAATTACACATCATTCCTAAATATTCAAGACCATTTTAATGCTCTATGTTGAGATTTCAAAAAGTGACAACAGTGATCCACACTCGCAGAGACATTACAATGTTTATACAGCTTTTACACAGCCTTAATCTGGAAAAAAAAAAAAGTGCACTCTTTGTACAAATTCATACATCCTTTCTTTTGTATTTGGTGCTGGTCCTGGAGATTAAACGTAGGGCCTAGGCACTGTCACTGAGCTTTTTTGCTCAAGGCTAGTGTTCTGCCATTTGAACTACAGCTCTACTTCCAGCTTTTTTGGTGGTTAGGAATCTCATGGACTTTCTTGGCCCAGCAGGCTTCAAATGGCAATCCTCAGGTCTCAGCCTCCTGAATAGCTAGGATTACAGGCATGAGCCACTGGTGCCCAGCCATATTTTACTTCTAAAACAGAAAACTCATTTAAAGGAAAGGAGGGAAAAATAGGCTCTGAGGAGGGTACTAGCGGAAGGGGCTGAGTTAGCAAGGAGGATGAAAGAGGATGAATATTAAAAAAAAAAAAAGAAAAAGAAAGAGGATGAATATAGTCCAAATAGCTCACTTGAAACTATGAAAATACAATAAAACCTGTTGATATTGTTCTGGGAAAGTGAGGGAAGAGGGAAAGGAAGTGTGATACAGGGAGAGAGATTGAGTGCAATATATTCTAAATGTATGAAAATAAAACAGTGAAATCCCCCCTGCATAACTTACATAAATAAGCTAACTTTTTTAAAAAAGAGAAAAAAGAAAACTCACTTAAAGCAAACACCTATGACAAATTATTTAAGCAGGACACTAAAATTTTAATGATAGCTATTGTTTAAAAGCACAGTCTTTTTAATCTTAATGACAGTTAAGATTTCCTATAAGAGACTTGTTTACAGATTTTTCCCCCCATCGCGAGATATTTTATTGTCTAAAATACACAATCTCTGTGGCAAAGTTTTCTACAATACATCCTCAAAATCCTAGCTTTTACCTTTAACAGGAAAGTAAACAAATAATTTAAAATGCCATCATCTTCCTCTTCTTCATCATTGTTGGTATCCAATTGGTGAAATGAAGTGACAAACTTGGCTGCAAATTCTATCACACGCTCCACAGCTGGTTCACGTTTATAGACCACCATGGCATATTTCAGGTAATGAACAAACTCTTCATGAAAAACTGTTTTATTATCCACCTGAAAGGCAAAAGAAACTCCTCATAAACTACACTGATTAAAAAACATCCCCAACATTCCCTTAATACTGATGAAAACACTGGGCAGAAAAAGGCCTAGTAACCTAAAATCTGTAGTAAAGTCTCAATTATCCTAACTAGCAAGAAGGATAAAACTACACAAACTTCACTCCAGTTTACAATCTGCACCTCCCAGAGAGTAAACAACATCAATTTTAACAGCAGAACAATTTGTTTTCAAAACCCTGCAATTCTCAATATATTACCAGTTTCGTAGGCCTACTGCCCCCAAACTACTTTTGGTATAACTTTCCCATCTCCCTGTATCCCCCAAGCTTTGCTATATTTACTTAACAATTTACTAAAAATTTATTATCTTGAAATAGCCATGTAAAGGGATTTCAATTCAACGTGACAATTTATGAGTATAATGCAGCCTAATCCATTTCTCTTGGCTTTTAAATTAATACATCCCCCCTCCCCCCAATTACATAGTATCTACAGGCTCAGGAAGGGTAGGGGCCTAAAGATTAATTTGACATTGGGTAACTGGATTCAACTGATTCAGGAATGTAACTGGAAGGTGGGCTTTTCTGTTGCAAGCAGAGATCCCTTCAGGATATAATCTGTGGACTAAGGATTAACTGTCCACACCAGCTGGGAGCCCCAGGGATGGGTAGCATTAGTGCAGAAAAGCAAAGGAGGAACCCCGTGTGGCTGGTGATCCGGTCGTTCACCTGGGCTCTGGAGACCTTGGGCAAGTCTTCTGAGAACGGTAAAGCTCACTTCACTCTGAATCAAGAGTCAACCACGAACAAGAAGAAAAGGCCGAGTGGTCATAAAAGCCAGGAGGTCTGGGTGTCAGTGGCTCACTCCTGTAATCCTAGCTACTTAGGAGGCTGCGATCTGAGGATCGGGGTTCGAAACCAGCCCTGGCAAAAAAGTCCGTGAGACCCTTTTCTCCAATTTAATCACCAAGAAGCCATAAGTAGTAGAGTGGCCAGCCTCAAGCACCAAAACTCAGGGCAGGATCTGAGTTCAAGTCCCAGGACCGCCCCCCCGACCCCCACATACTCAGGGACAGCATCAGGGATCTGAGTTCAAATCCCAGGACCGCCCCCCCCCCCCATACACACTCAGGGACAGCATCGGGGATCTGAGTTCAAGTCCCAGGACCGCCCCCCCCCCCCCGCCCATACACACTCAGGGACAGCATCGGGGATCTGAGTTCAAGTCCCAGGACCGCCCCCCCCCCGCCCATACACACACAGGGACAGCATCGGGGATCTGAGTTCAAATCCCAGGACCGCTGCCCCCCATACACACACAGGGACAGCATCGGGGATCTGAGTTCAAATCCCAGGACCGCCACACACACGCACGCACGCATACGCACACACACACGCACGCACACGCACACGCCAAGAGAGGCCCGGGGACGGCCGGCGGAGGAGCGGGGCGCCGAGGTGAGGCCGCGGGGAGGGCGGCGTTTACCTTGCCGTAAGTGCGGCTCAGAGCCACCACCAGCTTCGCCTGGTTCTGGTGCGGCTGCTGCGCCAGCTGAAAAGCCTCCTTGATGGGCAGCATCCTCTTCTCGGCTCCCATGGCGGCGGAACGACAGAACCCCAGCAAGGCCGCGGCGCCCCGCAGTCGGCCCAATCCCTCCGCACCCCAAACAACCCAGCCTCAGCGCGTCCCGGGGCGTGGTTACCGCCAGAGCTTTCAAAAACGTCCCGCGGGAAGATGACATCTCGCGAGACTACCGCGAGAGCGGGGCTCCACCCACGATCCAACCCCGCGCGTGCGCTTACAGGCGCGTTCGCCAGGTTTCCGGGTAGTTTCTGAGAGGGGCGGGGTGAGCGTCGACCTCGCCGGAAGTCGCGTCGTCAGGGAGACGGAGCGGAGCAGCCGCGCGACCTTCGGGATCCGACGGAGCTGGGGCCGCCCCGTGGGGCCTGCCGTGCGCCGGGGCGTGAGGCGGGGCGGCTGAAAAGATCCTCCACGGTGAGAACCGGGAGTCCGCCGCGGGCGTCAGTCTCCGCTCCGGCTGGAGGGGCGTGCGGGGAGGCCGGGCGGCGCGAGGGCCCCGGCGGAGGAGCGGGACTTCGCGGCCCCCGGGCAAGCCTCGGGCCTGGGCTGGGGGACCGACCCGCCCGGGCTCCGCCGCGGGCCCGCCAGGCCCGACGACGCCACCGCGCCCAGGAGAGCGCGGAGCAGGCTCCGGGCCTCGGGTCGCGGTGAAGATACGCGAGAGCCGGACCCGCGTCTTCCATCCGGGAACCCAAGCCTTCAGCCTTGGGGTGGGGGGGGGGGCGGGAGGGATCTCAAAAGAAGAATCCCCCCTCTCGGGTAGGGCCAAAGTATGACACCTCCAAGGAGACGGCACTGTCGGGTAGCTCTGGAGAGCTGTCCCTTTGAAAGAGAAAGACGTTTACATCCGTTAAAAGAGAGGAAGAGTAACTGGAGTCCCTCTGCTCACTGGGAGACTTCCTGACCAGACCACCTTTCTGTACCCCTCCCGGGCCTCCCCACCAGTCCAGAAGTGGAAGCCCCATCCGAACTCCTCCTCCTCCTTCCTCGGATCTCCGTAGGGTAAATAGAAGCTGCCATCTTCTGACCCTTCAGTTTCGCGTCTGTATAGGGGCTGTTGAGCACTTTTTTGTAACCCAACCAGAGAACCAAGGCAAATAGGTGGAAGGCAGCTATTTTTCCCCCAACACTGCCACCCCCACTTCCCAGTGGGTATGGAACTTAAGCTGTCTACACCTTACACTACTTTAAATTTTACCGCCCCTATTTTTCTTAACTTTTAAACATTGAATTAAATTTTTTTTTCACCGCCCAATTTTTTTTTTTTTTTGTCAGTCATGGGACTTGAACTCTGGGCCTGGGTACTGTCCCACAGCTCTTCAGCTGAAGACAAGCTCGCTAACACTTGAGACACAGCACCACTGTTTTTCTGGTGGCTTATTGGAGGTAAGAGTCTCACAGGCTTTCCTGCCCGGGCTGGCTTTGAACCAGAATGCTCAGATCTCTGCCTCCTGAGTAGCTAGGATTACAGGCCTGAGCCACCAGCGCCCGGCTCACCCAAATTTTTTATGTTAACACCATAAGCATTTATGAATAATCAGAAATGCAACTGGCTTTTTTCAGTCACATTGGTCTTCAACTTTATTCATATTAGCACCAAAGGCAGACAGTGGTTCTAAGCACTTCATTTAGTCTTTACAGTACCTGCAAAGAAACTTCAAACTGAAGCACAGGCAGGATGAATACTATTCTGTTACATGAATGCCATACATTCTCATATTTTGACTTCCTGAAACTTTGTAGGCCTACAAATGCTAGTTAAAATGATGAATGCAGAAGAATTTGAGTTGCCTGTAATTTTGAAATTACCAAGATACCTAATTTCAGAAAAGACAAAGGTATTCCAAGTTAATCAGCCAGAGCTAAAATACAGAGGCCTTCAAATACAAAGAATATACTGGTAACATTTGTAATCTCACTATAGCTAAAACGGTTAAAATGCCTGGTAAAATGGTAGAAAAACAGAAAGGGCAATAATTTTTTTAATCGAATATATCCAAAATCATTTTTAATTGCCTATGTGAATTGTTAATGAGATAATCTACATTCTTTTTTGTCATGAAGTCTTTGCTATTATTTCACACTAACAACGCTCCCAAGTGTTGAGGGCATCCAACACTAATGATGGAAACATTCTGTACTTTGAGAGCCACTGTAAATACCATTTCTTTTTAAGGTGAAGTCAACTGAAAACTGAAAATGAGAACAAATGAGTATTTGTTGTCGCTTTTTTTATTTCATGGGCTTTAGTTGCTCCACTTACCTGTTGAGTGCTTACCACCGCTGTTGCTTTTCTAGTAGTTTCTGCTAGTTCTTCTTTACAGTATTTTATTTTTTTAATTGTTTATTTTTGTAGTACAGACTCAGAATTAGCTTCACAGCACTGACTTGTGATCCCAACCTTTTCAGTACTATTGGATTATCTCCTACTTACAGGACTGCATTCATTCCCTTTTGTCAGTTACTCAAGGATAAGGAATCTGGCCACCAGAGGTCAGTCTTAACTATGTTTTGATTCATTTTTTTTTAACGATGAATGGCATAATTAATGTTTTTTTGAACATTATAATCTGAAAAAACTTTACAATGCTGTACTAAACACAAGCATAGTTTTGTTGTTGAAAAATTTACACATTTGTTTGATTTTTCTCTTTGCTTTTCCTCCCCTGCTCCATCCCCCCAGTGTACTGAGAATTGAACTCAGAGTCTTACAGTTAATGAACATCCTTCTTTTGTCTTTTCTTTTTGAAGGTTAGTCTCCACCACTTTTCTGGGGCAGGCCTCAAATTACCAATCCTCCTATCATTGAGTCCTCAGTACCTGGGATTCTAGGTTAGCATTTTACATAGCTCTCAACTTGGCTTTTAGTGTTGTGGGAAGGAAGAACAAAAATTTCCAACTATGAGAATAAATTTTTCCCCATACTTGATAAGCTCAGTCTAGAAAATAACAAAACTAATAAGACTATTATAAGACTATTAAGTTCTAAAATTTCAAATCAGTCATTCTTGACAGGCAAATTTTGCAAGGAATTACGTAAGATAAAGGGTTAATTTAGTTTTGATCTAGAAAAATACGTACATGAGATACAAAGAAATAGTTATGGGCTCACTATGATGTGTCTAAAATTTATGCCTTCAAATAGGCTTTTTCTGTCTTAGTGCTGATTGTTAAGAGTATGTCTTATGCTTCAAATGTCACTATAACTGAAGTAGTTAATTAGTAATCTTGCAAATGTAATGTGAGATTAAAGCAATGTATAAGATGACAATACACTTAAAAGCCAGTTCCTCCTGTCTCAATAAAATAGGGACATGTGGTATTTGGCAGATTAGGAAACATTGCAAGTAAGCTAAGCTTAAAAGTACTTACATTCGGGGCTGGGAAGGTGGCTCAGTGGTAGAGCGCTTGCCTTGCTATGCCTGAGGCCCTGGGTTCGATTCCTCAGCACCACATAAGCAAAAAGAAAAAAGCCGGAGGTGGCACTGTGGCTCAAGTGGTAGAGTGCTAGCCTTGAGCTGAAGAGCTGAAGGACAGCGCTCAGGCCCAGAGTTCAGGCCCCACGACCGGACCCAAAAAAAAAAAAAGTACTTACGTTCATGTTTCTTAAGGTTATATGCAATTTCTTTTTTTTTATTGTAACAGCATCAACTTAGTTGATCCTACTACTTTGGGACGCTTGGGGGCGGATTGAACCTACGGCCTGGGCAGCTTTTGTGTACAAGGCTAGTCCTCTACCACTTTGAGTCATAGCACCATTTCTGGCCTTTTAGTAGTTAATTAAAGATGAGAATCTCATGGACTTTCCTACCTGGCTTTGTACTGTGATCCCTAGATCTTAGCCTCCTTAGTAGTTAGGATTAAAGACCTTAGCTGCCAAGGCCCAGCTCGTTTTGGTCCTACTTTTAAAAATCATTTTCTTTTGTTAACTATACTACAAATCACCAAAGTATAATTTGGGAATTATTCTAGATCCCTGGAATAAAGCAGAGCATGCCTAAGTTGTGATTTACTACAGATCTTAGTAATTCATTAATTCTTTCAAATACATTTACTGATCTCATAATTTGTATCAGACACTATTGGGAACTGAAGTGTATAAAAAAGAAGAAAAAAGAGAATTCATTAGAAGAGAAATACTAACCAGAAGCCATACCGTGTGACCATGCTAACACACCAATTTTCTTAAAATATAGGTATTCACTAACTTCAATTTTGGAAACTACCCTTTTAGGATGGCATTAATAAGATGTTAATATTATTTCTTGCTATTTTATTTTCATTTAGAACTATGCCCTTAAAGTCCATCCATGTTGCTATTTATACTTCTAATGTGCTTTCTATGTTCTTTACCTGACCTCATTGCCAATGATAGAAACCTAGAGTTTTTTTAACTCCTTATCATGGGTGAAGCTGAAGAATATATCCTAGTATACTTGTCATAGGAGAATTTCTTTTTTGTATGTCCAGAAAAAAAAATTACTGTGAAAATGTAACTATTTGACTGCTAGATTGCTTTTCAGAGTTATACTCCGGTATGCAATCCTACCAGCAGTGCCAGTTTCTAAAGAAAACTCACCAACATTTGCCATTTTCTTTTTTTTTTCTAATTTTTACTAAACTGGTAGCATAATGTGATCTTATGGTTAATATCTCTGGATATTCTCTTTAAAATATTTTTGTCTGTATGTCTAAATCTCATGCCCCACTGGGCTTCATTGCTCACAGCTAGAGCTCTACCACTTGAACCATGCCTCCAGCCTGGCTTTTTACTAGTCAACCAGAGATGGATTCCTATGGACTTTCCTGCCTAGGCTGGCTTTAAACTTTGATCATTTAAGTCTCAGCTTTCTGAGTAACTAGAATTATAGATGTGACGGTACTTTCTTTCTTTTGGTCATACTCGGGTTTAAACCCAGGGCCTCACATTTGATTTGCTTGTTTGCTGGGCTGATACCTTACCATCTGAGCCACACCTCCTTCCCTTATCCATTTTCTTATTAAAATTGTCTTTTTTGTTGAGTTAGGAATCAAACCAAGGAGCTATCTACTGCTAATCAATACATTCCTTAGCTGCATCCCCAGCACATAAAATTCTTTTTGTTTAAAAAGATTGGTTTGTAGTTAACTTTGTCTTTAATGTTTTTAGTTCAGTCTGAAAAGTTTTGCTTTTGATGTGATTAAATTGTTTATTGACTCTCTGATGTATGCTTTTAAAAAAAAAAATTCCAAAGTCTTTCTCTGGCCTCAAACATAGAGATGTTCTACTGATTAATACTTGACTAACCGTATAATTTTAGCATCCCTCTTTAGGTCTGTAAGTTTTATTCCTGACATTATATAGGTGTAGGGTTTCACTTTGCTTCATTATGAGTCAGCTGCATCTATCTATCTATCTATCTCTACCTATCTATCTATACACTAAATTCATCCACTCTTTTATATATATATATATATATATATATACACACTAAATTCCCCATTGATTTATGTGCCGGCCTTACATTGTTTTCCCAAGTTATATATGTCTCTGTTTCTGAGATTTGTTCTGTTCAGTGGGATGATTTGTTTATTTTTGTATTCCACCCTTATTTTTATTTTTGACTTTCATAACAGCTTGAAGGACATTAGATATCCTAATGCATGCTGATCTGTTTAACTGTTGGTTTGGCTATATGTATAAATCTTACTCATTCCATATAAATGCTAAAGTTCACTTATGGAGTAAACTTTAAATTTAGAACTACATTTGTAAATTTAGACAAAGTTGATATCTGAATAATACTTGTTTGTTCCATCCAAGAGTATATAGATGTTGCCTATTATTGATATATACCTATATCCTTAAAGATGTGTGTGGGGTTTTTTTTTTAGTATTCCTGGTATGGAAATTAAGAGTGGAAATTAATTATTTAGTCCTTTCACTTCCAGTTCTTACACCTGTCATGTATAATACTGTCTAGGATTTTCAGTGCCAAGTCGAGCCAGTGTTAATCGTCATGATCATGGTCACCTTACCTATTTTTATTTATTTTTAATTTTTTGATTCAAATGTAATGTTTATTACATGCTTATTACTGTGCCCATTATTAAAATAACTAAAGAAAAATCAATTTTAAAAATACTCAACTGTCAGTCCAGGCAATATTGACGTTTCAGCTTAACTGGTTCATGGTAGAGCATAAATATGTGGGCATCTGAAGCAACGCCTTACAGACCCAGGTTCTCCTCCAGTGTCTTCTCTTGGAGTTGTACCTGATTTCTGTTACCAGTTTTCATCCGAATCCACTGGGGAATGGGGCGATTTTGCTTTTGTTTCTTGGCCAGAAACCGCTTGATTCTGAAAGTCTTGTGAGAAGCCATGATGAGAAGCTCAGGAAGGCACAGTAACCATGATGGTGAACAAAAGCTGAAGAGCTTAGCTACTTTTAAAGGGAATATATTTAATCTTACTTGCTTTTAATTTAGGTAGATTAACTTTACCAAGTTAAGAAAGACCTTCTTTTTTCTAGTTTTAAAGGCTAATTTTTGAAACATGTGGGTCACTAAGGGATTACGAAGTTTTATATTCAGCTGATAAAGTTGAATTTTTCTTTCATTTTAGAAATGTATAAATTTTCCAAATTTGAGTTGCTGGTATAAACTCCAATTGATTGTAACATTTTCTTTGCTATATTCTGAATTCTTGTGATACTCATATTTTTTGCAAGTAAAATGAAGTGAACCTGCATTTATGTCATTTGTCTCTAGTTTTAAATATTTGTTATTTTCTTAAAAAGAACTGATCTTTTTTTTTTTTAAGTTGGGTTTTGTTTTTGTTTTTCCTTTAACAGCTTCTTCATATAATTACCACGGCTGAAATCCCAGCAAGAGTCCCAACAGCTAGCAGCTCTCCTACCAGGACAGCTACCCTAAAACAGTTATCAACAAACACATATAAAGGTAAAAATAATGTTTGGAGTTTGGGGCACAAAGGTTCAGCTTTTCAGAAGTTACTTTCAGGTGCCAACTACATCCTTAAAAACTGACTTAGTAATGTCCCAATGAGTTAAAATAGACACAGATTCCCAATTTTCTGTTGGGAGTGGTCTTAGAATCTAAGAATCCTAAGCCTATGTAAGATAGAGGGAAAAATCTGTAAGGTTTTTTGCTCAGCATACATATTCTTGGGAGCCTTGAGGTTAGATGAGCAATATAATTACCTAATGTTTTTTGCATTTAATACTATATCTCTAGTTTTCTCATTCACAGATTAAAGGCTATCTTTCCAGATAGTCCATCTACTGAATCACTGGTTTCCAAGAACATTAGCATCTCCTGTGGGAACATGAGATTCTTGCACACCAGATGTTCTTGACAACTCATCTGGTCATACCCTCTGTATGAAAGCTCTTTCACCAGTCGGCAACCAAGGTGACTACTGAGCTTCTTTTCATACCCAGTAGATACAGAATCACTGCCAGAGTGCACACATGTGTTCACAATACCAGAACTGAGACTCCACTAAGAGAATCAGCTTGCCTAACTGAGGACCCCCCTCCTCTTGGGTAACCAGGTTTGAAGGAGATACTCTGACCTGTGCCACTGGTAAGTGACTACTACTATTACACACTGAACTGGTCCTGAAGGCTAAGATGTCTTCTTCATAAGTGAAGAATAAAGAACATAATCTTGAAGAACTGTGCAAGTGGTGTGGGAGAGGCACACTGTGTATACAATGGACTGAGAAATAGACAAACTTGGTGAAAAGGTTTTTCTTCTCATATTCTTATTAGCCAGTGTTAGTCAATAATCTATTTTGCTTGTTGTTATTTTCTGTTTCCTTACTCTGTGTAATTCTAATGGGTCCCAGAATTCCCTCTCCTGATCGCTTATCAGAATCAGAAAGTGAGGAGGAAGATAACATTAGCTACCTAGATGAGAGTTCTGGAGAAGAGTGGGATTCCTCTGAAGAAGAAGACCCTATGGTGCCCAACCTAACACCTCTTGAGAGTCTTGCCTGGCAGGTTAAGTGCCTTTTGAAGTATTCTACAACTTGGAAGCCTTTAAATCCTAATTCCTGGCTATATCATGCAAAACTCTTGGATCCAAGCACCCCAGTCCATATACTTCGAGAGATAGGTCTGAGACTTTCTCATTGTTCCCACTGTGTCCCCAGACTGGAACCAATTCCTGAATGGCCCCCTCTGGCCTCTTGTGGAGTCCCACCTTTCCAGAAGCCCCTAACCAGTCCCAGTCGGCTCTCGAGAGATCATGCCACCCTAAATGGAGCATTGCAATTTGCCACCAAACAGTTAAGTCGAACATTGAGTAGAGCTACTCCCATCCCTGAATACTTAAAACAGATTCCTAATTCTTGTGTTTCTGGTTGTTGCTGTGGCTGGCTAACTAAAACAGTTAAGGAAACAACTCGCACTGAGCCCATCAACACCACTTACTCTTACACTGACTTCCAAAAGGCGGTTAACAAACTCCTGACTGCATCATTGTAAAGATCAGTATTTGCTCCAGCATCTGATTAAGAAAGGAGTACAGTTGAGAAACTCATACCTACTCAATAAAACTGTGCCATACCTTGACAAGCTAAAGTGCTACTAAGTATTGAATCACTCCAGAGTCCTGTAGTTCCGCTAAAGAAAATGTTTATTATGTATATGTCGTCTAACAAACCCTGTGGATAAAATGACAAGAATTAGTCGAAAAGATTATATTTTGCCAGGCACCAGTGGCTCATGCTTGTAATCTCATAACTACTCAGTAGGCTGAGATCTGAGGCTTACAGGTAAAAGCTAGCCAGGGCAGGAAGTCATGAGAGTCTTAACTCCAATTAACCACACAAAAAGCCAGACCAAAGCTGTGGTTCAAATGATAAAACACCAGCTGTGAGCAAAAACACTGGACAGTGCTCAGTCCTTTGAGTTCAAGCCTCAGTATAAGCAACCTAAATAGATATTATATTTTAAAGGTTAGTTACACATTCTTCATATCCTATAGTTACCCTGCCCCAATTTATTCTGTCTGTTTGAATCTACTTTAACTAGGTACCAGATTATAAATGGGAAGAAAAAAGTAGGTCAGCAGTGCTTTTGTTATACAAGCATCAGAACAGCCTTGGAAAGGTAGAACTCAACCATTGCCTAGAAGTTGGTTATTCACAATAAAATTTTACTTACACAGTCTTCTCATTTATTTCTAGGGATGTAGTTGAAGTAAATTGAATAATTGCACAAAGGAAAATGGAATTTAGATGTGTCTCCCAGCTTATATAGATATACCTGTATGTTACACCCTTTAGGGTTCCTGTTTTTTGTGAGGAGTGAAATTTCAAACCCAGGACATACCCTACTCCAAATATATTCCCTATCATTGTCTTCACCATCTTGTCTTTGGCCTAATTTGCCCTTAAGATCAAGAGACTTCTGTTATATAGAAAATGTGTTTCTTGAATCATAACATCCAACCTTTTTTAGGGAGCAAATAGAGTACATTCCAAAACAATGAAGATCAAGACAGAACTTAAGTTTTCAGAATTAACTGCTAAAGGATTAAAATACCTGTATGTCATTTTTTGGAGCAGAAGTCTATGCACTTTCCACATCACTACAAACATTTCAGGTACCCTTCTAATTTCATAAAACCTTTCTATATATCTGAAGTTTTAGTAGCAGCATTGTTTTTCTAAGTAGAATAGATAGTTTTTCTTTGGATGAACAAGGAAGAGTATATGCCCTTGTAAAAGTCTTGCTATGTTCAAGTGGATCAAATGTAAAAATTAACATACATAAAATGAAATGCATGAGACTATTAAATCTTTGCATACTGTGCAATAGAGAGAAAAATCTATGGGTGAGAGGAATCAGATTATTAAAAGTATATCACAGATTATTAAAAGTATTATCACAAGTGAGTGCTGGTGGCTCATGCCTGTAATCTTAGCTGCTCAGAGGCTAAGGTCTGAAGATCATGTTTGAAGCCAGACCAGGCAGGAAGGATCTTCAGTTAAGCACTAAAAGGCAGAAGTGGAACTATGGCTCAAGTGGTAGAGCATTATCCTTGAACAAAAACAGCTCAAGAGATCGTGCCCAGGCCCTGATTCAAACCCCAGGACCGGTGTAAAAAAAAAAAAATAGAATACGTGTTCTGTATTTTATTTTTGCTTATTTTTCATAATGATTCTTGAAAGGTAGAATCCTAAAATTACAAAATTACAAATTTTGTAAATGTACAGCAAATTTAAAGGGAGCAAAGAATTTATATAACGAGTATTTCTGCTGAGCCTTAGTTGTCCTGTTATAAGGAAAAAGGAGGATATTGTAGTAGTTAGAATAAAAAGGTATTAGTAAAAATTACTTATTTGAAACCTTATACTGTTAATGTAACAGAATGAATGTATCATAAATGTCCTATGCAGATAATGTGTGAATTAGTTTTAAAAATGTTACAAGAACCTGTTTTTTTTTCCTAAGGGGAGGAGGTGGAAGGACATATGAAAGAGGCCAGAAAATTAAAATATGTTGATGTTTATGTATCCATTTTGTCTGTGTGTATATAAAAGAGCCTTGCTCATGAATACATTTTTGCTATTGACTCTGAAAGGAAGCCTTTCCCCAGCTTGGCAGCTGAATAAACCAGTAGCTTTATATATGTTGAACAGAGTATGCTCATTTGTCCTCAACAAATCAAATAGATCTTCTTCACTAAAGGCAAAGTCAACATTCACTAAGTACTGAATACAGCTCGTATATATACATCTGTATTTGTACAATGTCTGTGAATCATACTGTCATCTTTAGAAAAGAAACACACTTAAAGGACAAAGTATGTCATATTTAGTGACAACCCAAATTTAAACCTATTGAAATAATCCAAGGTTGCATGAAAAGATGAGCCCCTGATAAGCCTTAAACCTTGTTTGCCAGAGACTTGGGTTTAGGGGTGATGTTGCCATTTTCACATTCTTCCTATCTAGGCCTCTGATTAAAAAGTCACCATAATTAGGATAAAGGAAAAAGAATTTAATGGGAGAGAGCAGGGGAAAGAGTGATATTGTCCAAAAAGAAATGTACTCTTTACCTGACTTAAATAACTGTAACCCATCTGTACACTGCCTTTATAATTGTAAGAAAAAAAATATAAAGAAATAAAAAGAATTTATTCCCTATTTCTAAGAAATAGAGTCCAGAGGAATAAAGAGGATTTCTAGGCCAGTAATTTAAAGGTGGTTTTCTCAATGTCTACAGGTGGTTTTCTTAATGCAGATAGCCGTTTTGTTGAAGCAGTCCAGATATCTTGAGCCTAGAAGAAGGCCATGATCATACTTTTTTTGGTCCATTGTGGAACCTGAACTCTGGGCCTGGGCACTGGCCCTCAGCTCTTCAGCTCAAGGCTAGTGCTCTACCACTTGAGCCACAGCTCCACTTTCAGCTTTTTCTGCTTATGTGGTACTGAGGAATCCATCCCAGGGCCTCATGCATGCAAGGCAAGCACTCTAGCACTGAGTCACCTTCCCAGCCCCATAATCATGACTTTTAATTCCATCTGCTTCATAAGGAGAGAAAAGAAAAGAGGTACATGGCCAGTGTGGAACAGATAAAGTAGGTCTTCTCCAGGGCATTTTTTACTAGAGCTCCTATCACACCCACCTAAAGAACTTTCTATATGATGAAAACAGTATTGAAATGTTAGAATAGGTTATTAGAGCAAATAAGGTCCCTAGACACTTAGGCCTTGGTAGGCATAAGTTGTCTTACATGTTCTAATAACATGACTTTCTACTTTTGGCTTCAGTTACAGTACATTCCCAGCCCTGGGGATAAAAAAAAATTATATGGAGTACTACACAGAAGAAATAAAATTTAAATATAATGGATCCATATGCATTAGCCCAGTCTGAGGCAAGAAGATGGTGAGTTTGAGGCCATCATAGGCTACACAGGCCCTATCATATGGAGGGCACACTCCAAGTAAGGCCTTCAAAGGATAGCTCAAGAAATAGGTAAAACTTGCTAGTAATTTGTACGTAGCTTAAGTTATCTCTGCTAATTTCACAAGTAGCACACAAAGGCCAGTCTAGAAGTGGAGAATATGCAGAAAAGTATAGAAAGTAGATAGAACTCTCAGACCTTATGACCTAAAAGCAAATTAACACATACTGACATATTTGTCTACCAGTGGGCAGTGTCTACTAAAGGAAAAGAGGCTACACAGGCTGGCACCAGTACTAGGCAGATCTTGCACATTATTTATATGTGGGGTTTAAACTGCGTTCCTTCTACTACTCATGCCATGCCCCTAGGCCTTTTTTATTTAGTTAGTTTTCAGTGAGGATCTCACACTTTATCTGAGACATGGCCCAGACTCAGACTGTGATCGCTTTGCCTTTGCCTCCATGTACCTGGGATTATGGACATGAAACACCATGCCCAGTGTTTTGAGATGGCCTCACCAACTGTTTTTGTCCAGACTGGCTTTAGGCTATGATCCTCCTTTCTTCACCTCCCAAGTCACTGGGATTACAGATGTAAACTATCACACCTAGCAGTCTGATAATTTAGAACACAATGTGGTATGATACAGTAGTATTCAATCTACTGAGTTCTTCCTTTCAGTTGATTGCAACAGTGAGACTATATACTCATACACCCACTTGAAAGTGTAAGACCAAGAAAAGGAACAGGACAAGGACACAACGCTGACTTGACACTTGCAAGCTATGACCTCCTGTGAACTTGGGAGAACTGACCAGCTCTTCTCAATGAGATGTAGGAAAATGAATACCAGGATGAAAACAGGACTAAGATTATTGCTTCTAGTCAGTCAGTGCTGAAGCAGTAAAAATGTTAGCAACAGCTTAAGATTGGCTCATGAACAACAGAAATTGGCTCAAATTAGGACTCAAATCAACTTATTTGGGAAGATTTAGTTGATTGTATCATATAAGAAAATTCCTAGGATCGTTTGAGGGGAGTCTATGTGTAGCCAGTAATCTTCTAGAAGGTAGAGTAGGGAACCTGAATAAAGAATAAAACTGAGTTTTGGTATACAGAAAATGGTGTAGTAACAGATTAGACTGCAACAGGAACCAGCAGTTATTAAAGAAACTGGTAGTATCTTTTTTGTGGAGGGATTATTATGTTTGAGTTCACTGCTAATCCCATGCCTAATAGTGTCTTTCTGTGGATCTCTGCTCTTGGACATGGTAATCTAACATAGGAATTGATGTTCTGAAATGCATTAATTTGGCAGTGGTCTAAGAGGATCAACTTCCTTTCAGGGTCCACATATATGGCCATATTGCATCAAGAAGGACCCTAATCCAGATGTCAGTGTCTCATGCTATAATTCTAACTATTCAGAAGGCAGAGATCAGGAAGATGATGATTCAAGTCCAGCCCAATCAGCAAGAAGTTCATAAAGTTCCATCTCACCATAAAAAGCTGGTAGCACACACTTGTTAATCCCAGTTATACAGCATGAGTTGTATACAAGAGGTCCAGACCTGCCTGGGGAAAAAGTGAGATCCTATCTCAAAAATAACCAAATCAAAAAAGAGAAGTAGGGCCTAAGTGGTAAAGTGATTGCCAAGCAAATATGAAACCCTGAGTTCAAACCTAATGCCACCCAAAAAAAATCAGAAGGACCCTAGAGAGCCCGCCTAACAACTGCCAAGACCCTGAGTTCAAACCACCACAAATAATAATAAATGTATAAATGTGATAATATAATAATATATATTAAATATAGTAATGAAGAGCCACAAATTTAAAAAGAAGACATTATCAGAAACATTGAAGGATATACTAATCCGTGAAATAAGAGCAAGAGCAGGATGTTATTTTTAAAGTCGGAAAATAAGAGCTATTAAAGAAATGGAGCCAAAATGAAATATTCAGTAGATGTGTCAGAAAATGATTTCCAGAAATTCCAGAAAGTAGAACAGAAAGGCTAAGGTGACAGGCATGAGAAAAGAAAATTAGAGTGAGATGCTGCATCTAATTCCTGAATTCCACAATGAGAACAGAGAAGAGAGGTGAAGGGGGAGATAAGATTATCATGATTCCCTAAAATTGTAATGCATTCATCTCCTAAAAGGGTCCCACCAAATGGCCAACATGATGAATTTAAACAAGAAAAAGCATATCAGTATATATAGCTCAGGGCTAAAGAAAATTCTAAATGCTTCCAAAGAGTATGGTTAACAGGTTACATAAAACTAGTTATTTCCAGAATGACAGTAGACTTGTACCAACCAGGCTTTAAAAAACTGAAAACAGGACTTTCAAACGTATAAGGGAAAATTATTTCTAACCTAAAATTCTGTACCCAGACAATGGCAGTTAATTATGAGGTTGAAATAACTTTATAACGTGCATGATCTCTCCTTCTTTAGGAGAACACTGGAGACTGTGATCTGAAAAGGAGTGGAAAAGGGTGGAACGGTGAAACCCTAGAAACCCACCATTCCCCCACCCCCCAAAAAAAGTAAAGCGATGGGGGTAAGTCTCAGGATGACGGCTGTGTCACGTAAGTAGGGTGGGGCCTAGAAAGTAGCTCTATAGGAAAACTCTGAACTCTGTTCTCATATATGGAAAATGTAGCTATTGAGCCTGAGATTTGAGAATTGCAGTTTGAAGACAACCTGGGCAGACAAATCTGTGAGACTCTCATCTCCAGTTTACCAGCAAAAATTCTGGAAGTAGAGGTGGCTCAAGTAGTAGAGCACCAGCCTTGAGTGACAAAAGTTAGACAGTGAGGCCTTGAGTTCAAACCGAGTACCATCACAAAAGAATAAAATTGAAATTTAAAAATAAAGTCCAATTTCATAACCAAGTTTAAAAGTTTGACATTAAAAATACAGTATAATTGTAGTATTGTCAGCTTTCAATGGTCTTTTCAGGCATCATACTTCACAATTGAAGCAGCTGCTTGCTTTGCATATGATGCACATTGTCAAAGATATTTCTCAAACAAGATTGCAACAGCTTGATTTGTACAAGAAACTTTATTTGCTTAAGCAAATCTCAAATTTTTTAATTTACTTACCTAACAATCTCTAGCAGTAATTTGGACTAGCTTTGCATTTAAGCTTTAGTCTCCATAGATTCAAGGAGTTATCTACTTTTTAAAAATATTTTAAAACTTTATATTGCTTATTGCTTTTTACATTAGATACTATTGCTATAGTTACATCCAGTGGCTGGCCTCTAATATATTCCTATATAATAATTTAGATTCTTTTCCCTATGAGTTGTGGTTCAAGGGTTTCTATGCTTGGTTTAAATTGTATAACCTCATAATAAAATTTCATGTAATTGCAAATCATCTGAGCGCCATTGTCATATCTGTTGAGTGAAACACACCAAGCTAATTTGTCCATCTCTTTTTCTAAATAGGGAAAACCTACAGCAAAATAAATTGTTCCAATCATGTGTGCTTCTTGACAGCTTCTCACAAATATATATTCACTTCAATACTACATCAAGGTATAAACACTCAGATCCTCGTACCAGAAAAACAAACAAACCTCATTCCCTAATGCCTTTTCTCAGTCTATATTGCCCCTAGATATAACTACTGTTCTATAAAGATGAATCAGTCTTTTTTCTCCAAATTCATATGAATGAGATCATGCAGTTCATATTCTGTTGCACGTGGCTTTTTAAAAAATCAATATATATTTTTTATTGTTGTAGACAATTCTATTTCATGAGTAACTATATTGCATTTATCCTTTCCCTCATTATTGGCACTTGAGTTCTAGCTAAGTTTTGGCTATGATGTAAAAACTACAGTTCTCCACTTTTTGGGATCTATGTGCCGTTCTTCTTGGGTTTATGCCTAGGAGTCACGTTGCTATGCTATATGTCTCGTTACCTTTAGTAAAACTGCCAAACACTTTCAAAAACTGATCGTATCATTTTATTCTCCCCTCAGCAGTGTATGACATTCTATTTGTTCGTTAAAATCCTTTGTCAATCCTTTTCTTTTTGGAGATACAGCATTTGAACTCAGGACCTTGTGCTTACTAGGCAGACACTCTATCACTTGAGCCATTCCCTCAGCCCAGCCTTTTTTTAAAATTATTATTACAGCTGGACTAGTACTTGTGTTGTGGTATCTTAGTATAGTTTTAATTTACACTTCCTTGATTAGTTGAGTACATGATGTTGAGTACATTTTTGTATGCTTTTTTAGCTGCCTTTTTTGAAAGTACAATTTGAGGCTTTTGCTGCTTGAAAATTATATTATCTTCCTTTTCTTGAGTTGTAGGATTTATTTACATTCAAAGTAAAAAGTTGTGTCTTGCTTACATGTATTATGAAGGCATGCACTCTATATAAGCTATTCAATATCTTGCCTTTTTTTTTTTTCTCTCTCGATTGTGGGGCTTGAACTCTGGGCCTGGGCGCTGTCCCTCAGCTCTTCAGCTCAAGGCAAGCATTCTACCACTTGAGCCACAGTACTATGTCCAGATTTCTTGTGGTTAATTGGAGATAAGAGTCTCAGGGACTTTCCTGCCTGGGCTGACTTTGAACTGCGATCCTCAGATCTCAGCCTCCTGAGTAGCTATGATTACAAGCGGGAGCCACTGGCGCCCGACTATTTATGTTCTTAGTAGTATATTGTGATAAGGATCATTTATTAATTTTTATAAGATCCAATTTATCAGGATTTTTTCTAATTATGGTTAGCACAGATGTTTCTTAACCTGAAAATGTTTTCAGTAGCTTTATAATTTTAGCTTTTACATTTAATTTTACATTTTCAAACTTGATTACTATTTTAGTTCTTTCTCCTCTTCATAATCCATATTAAAGGTGATTTGTCATAAATGTGGTTTACATATCTTTGGACTTGGTCATTTGCATGAAAGTTAAGAAAGTTAACATTCCATGTTATTCACCGGAAGGCTGAAGTACATTACACGTTTTATTTAAAAAATTATACAGATTAGTGAAAGAACAGGTGACAGTGCCCAAAAAGGAAGGTACTCATTACCTGATTTATGAACAGTAACCCCTCTCGACAACAGTAACCTTCATAGTAACAGTTTTAAATTTTTATACAAACCTCATTAAGTAACTACAACTGAGTATGATTCTGAACAATAGTTTTGGTTTCCGGCAAACGGGGATCTGAACTCGGGGCTTTGTGCCTGGTAGGCAGACACTAAAGCTCTCATGGCTGCCGTCCTCCCATTTACGCTTCTGCATGTTTATTAACCGTTTTAGACATTATCTCGTCTCCTGTTTTTCTTAACCCTGCCTGGGACAAATGTCCAGTCTCTGCCCACCCCTTCTTAGCTTCTCTAGTGTGTCTCCTTCGGGAGGAATAGAGTAGGGCTGGGAATCTCTTGGTGCTGATTCTGAGTAAGGCCATGTGTTTTCTAAAGCAACTGGGGAAGGGGAGGGAAGGTTGTTCTGGAAAGGCAGCAGTGGGGTATCTAGAACAGACATGGTTCCATGTCGGCCGTTTCTGGTGGTCTTTGATGCAGATAGTTGTTCTGGGCCGACTGGTTAAGGTTACGGTTGCACGGGCTAGGCAATGAGTGCATGTGGTTTCTTAGCCCCTTTGAAACCTACTGTGTTGACGGCGGTTCCTAAAGCTCTTGACCCAGGTCCGTTTGTCCAGGGGAGAGCTGTTAGCCATGTAGACTCAGAATGATGTCTCTATCCGTCATGCTTCGGGACAGCGGGCCACTGCTCCGGACAGGACATTTGTCCCGCCAACCCCTCCTCCCCAACTCAAAAGGCGGGGCGGGAGCGGGGACGGGGACAGGGAACGGGACGGGCACGGGATCGAGGGCCTGAGGTGGTCCAGCCCCGTCGCGATACACGTCCACCTCCTCCCCAGGACCCGCGCCCCCGTCCCCTTCCTCTGTCCTTCCCGCCAGAATTCTGCTCCCGACCCAGACTTCGGGTCCACTTTGGCTTTTCCCCTTCTCGGGACCTCTAGCAATCCTCTCCAAAGTGGGGCGCTGGTGCGGGCTGGGGCTGGGGGGTCCCCTCTAGGTCCCGGCGGCGTGCCCGCAGCCACGCTGCACTCCCGTCCCCATGGCTGCGCTCGCCACCTGCCCTGCCCAGCCACCTGGGCCCTGGGCCCCGAGCTCGGAGCCGCCCGCCCCCCAACCACCGCACCTGTCCCGACCCCCCTCCGAACCCAGGAGGGGGAGTGTCATGGCGCCATTCCACTGGGAGCGCGGCCCCTCTCGCCGCTTTCGTGTGCGGGAGCGCGCGGTGACCAGCCGCGGGACACTCACCCCACCCCCCACCCCACGCGCCCTCCCAGGCCGCTCCGGGCCGCGCAAGCCCTGAGCTCCTGCCTGGCGGCCTCGCCACCCGCACCAGCCCGGCCCGGGAGCTGAGCCACACGCGTGCCTGGCCGTGGGGCGCGCGGGTGCCCGCGCAGCCAGCGAGCGTGGGAGCCGAGGAGGCCCACGCCTCCCGGGGAGGGGAGGGGAGGGAGGGACGGGGAGGGGGCAGGAGCCCCGCGACAGCGCGGCGGGCAGCACTGCAGTGCCACCCCGCCCGCCCGCTCGCGCGCGCGCACGGCACACGGCGGGCCGGCCGGCCGGGAGCGCGAGCCGGAGCCCCGGGGTGCCGTGGGGGGGCGGGGCGGGCGGGGTGGGCGGCTGGCCGCGATGGCATCTGCCCTCAACAGCAACCTTCACCCGCCCGGCCCCGGCCCGAGCGCCAAAGCCGGCGGCGGCGCCCGCAGTGGCGCCGACTGGGGCAGGGACTACGACCCCGACATGCACGTGAAGATGTGCAAGAAGATCGCTCAGCTCACCAAGGTAAGGCGGGGCGCCGCGGCCGGCCAGCTAACGCGGGGGGCGCGGCGGGGGGTGCCGGCGCCTCCTGGCCAGGCCAGACCCATTCCGGAGAAAGTTTGTCTGGAAAGCCAACGGAAAGGGAAGCGGCCCTAAATCTGGGTGACCCGACCTCCGGGAGCAGCACTGCTGAAGCGAGGAAACTCCCTCCGGGGTCCTCTTGCCTCGCAGGTGGGCTGTGATTGGGGGGGGGGGGGATGTGAAGTGTGTGTGTGTGTGTGTGTGTGTGTGTGTGTGTGTGTGTGTGTGTGCGCGCGCGCGCGTGCTCTCCTTTGCCAGCTCTGTGATCGTGCCTGGAATGTTGTGATTGTATTTACCGCAGTACTTTACAGCTGGAGAGGTCATGTGAGCACCGTGGAAAACACTCGATCCACGTATTCCTTCATTCAACAAATATTTGAGTCATTTGTGGAGTGCCAGCCGCCTGCGCGGCACCGTAGTAAACCTGGAAGGCAGCCCAGGGGACTTGACTATCAACGGGCTGCAGATGTGTGTCGGAGCAAAAATGGGGAGCGGCGCGCTCACTGTACAGTTATGGATTAGCAGGACCTCCGGAGGTCAGCCAGCCCATCCGCCCCTGTCACCCCAGGGCCTTGGGTGAACCTGCCCAGTCTGGCCTCCGGGCCAAGACCGGTATGAAGATGCTACCGGGCTCGTTGTTTCCTGTCAGGAGCTCCTCTTCCTAGGTTCCTCTCATGCGGCTGTGTGAGGATGCAGAGCTACAGTCCTTGTCTATTGTACAAGGCTTGCACTGGGCGAGTTTAGCTGTCTGTTTGCTGTTTCATTTTGGTAGCAAACTCTGGAGACCACACTGGCCTGTGAGAGGTCAGGTCCAAGTTTATCTAGGAGTCAAGGAACATACTCCCCTCCCCCTCTCTCTCCCTCTTCTCCCCCCCCCTCTGCTTTTCTGACTCTCTCTGTGTCTCTGTCTCTCTCTCACACACACATACACACATACACATACTCCCTACACTTATGGATGCAGATAACCCTCACTATTTTGCCGGAAAGAATGAAGCACAGAACAGTACTAGTGGCCTTCTCCTGCCCCCTTGAATAACTTCTCCACCTTCTTTGCTCCTGAGCCTGACTCCAAACAGGGTTGGAAAGGGGGAATGGAAGCTTTGACATGTATAACAGACACCCACACTCTAACCTACACTCACCTAAGCACTGATGTCAATTTTTTTTAAATCCTATTTATTCAAGTACCCGCATCTGCTCTGTTTTCAAAGAATCTAATATTTTCAAGAGATTGTTATATCATCAATTGCTAACTTGGGTATCAAATTACCAGTACTATAGAAGTCAAAAGTTATTATGGGCAGAAACAGATTTTACAAAGGCAATAATTCTTACATTTTTTAAATTTATGGAGTACCTACTATGTGCCAACACTATGTTGAATATTGATGACATAAAATTTAGTGAGACACAATCCTTGCTTTGTGGTATGCCAAACATATATTAACAGATCATATCAATAAAATATGGTGATCACTGTACTCATTAATATTTATGGTATACCTATTATGAGTCAAGCACTGAAGATACAACAATATGAAAGGCAGACATCATCCCCAACACACACTAGACAGTATTTCTCAAAGTATACTCTTACCACAAACCATTGGTTGATCATTATTATGTAGTGCATCTCTTGAATTTTTCATGCTAATTTCTTAAATTAGAAATTTCTGATATTTATGAACTCCTTTCTTTTGGCATATGTGCATATGTGCACATTTAATCCTTCTGACATACTTTAGTTGTATCTTTGATAGACGAATTTAATTCGTGTGCATTTATTGTGATTATTAATAGTCTTAGTATAATTTTTATCATATTTCATATTTTTCACTTACCATTCTTTCATCTCCATTTCAGCCTTTTGTTGGATTAGAAAAGTGATTTTTTATTCCACTACTTCTTTAAGAGCCCTATGCTTATTTTTTGTTGTTCTAAGCACAAAAATGGTGGGACAAAGGGTAAAAAAAATGCAGCAGTGATACTCACCAGACACTATATTGAAAGTGAACTATACAGTTTGGTGGGGGGCGGAGGGTTAGAAGGGAAAAACTGGGAAAAAGTGAGGGAAAGGGTGACTCAAAGAAACGTACCCATCACCTGACTTAGGTAAGTCTAACTAGCCCTCTGTACATCACATTTACAATAACAATAAAAGGCACTTCAACTATTTAAGTATACGAATAGTATACTAAGTAGTATTCTAATATAATGCATAGCATAATATATACAATATAACATAATATACTAATATATTGTAAAAATGTCAAGATGCATAATGGTAATATTTTCTAATAGCATCTAATTGGTTCTTCCTGTGTATTTTACCATTTGTCAGCTCTTGCCTTTCCTATCCTATGAATTGCTCCTAGTTTTGTTTTTACGTTTTACATTTAAAACTAGTTCTTTTAATCAAAAATTAAATTTACTGACACCAGTTTGTCTGCTTATCACATTTTTTTCTTTCTTTAACTCAACCTGTCTCTTTTGAATTCATCTTCCTTCTGGATGAAGTCTATTTTTTAATATAGAGAAGTTTATTAGGAAGGAAATACACTTTCAATAGACAGAAATTGAATAATCTCTAGGTGAGCATGACTGCAGTCCATCTTTTCCACTATCACTTTCTGTAGGGGTCATGGTTATAGAGGGAATTCTTTGTAGATTTCAAACCATCTTCCTTTTGCTGCTATGGTGTACAGTCACTTATCTAGGAATAGAATTCTACTGGACAGATACTTTCCCCCAGAACCTTGATGTAGTACCTCATTGTCTTCTGGGTTTGACCATTGCTAGCCAATAATTCTACTCCTTGCTTTTTTGATGTTTTTTTTGGTTTCACAGGACCTTCCTCGGTGTTAGTTTATTGAAGTCTCATGCTTTCTTTAATTCTAGAAAATGACAAAATTTCTCTTGAGATACTTTCATTCTATTTTCTGGAACTGTCATTTGGTTAGCACGAAAGCTTGCCCATGTATCTCAAAAAAATGTTATTAATTCTTTTTAATCTGTGTCTCATTCTAGGAAATTTTTATACTATCTTCCAATATGCCACTCCTCGTAGTTATCTGTTCATTCAAGTTTTTCTCTCATCTATAACTTTTAGGATTTTAGTAAGTTTATTTTCCATTTCTGAGATTACTTTATTTCTTTCTAATTTGATTAATAATTTGTGATCAACTTTCAGCTTTATTGAGGTATAATTTACATAATACCAATTAACCTTTTTTAAGTGTACACCTCAAAATTTTTAGTAAATTTCCAGTCATCAACCCTTAATTATGTTCCAGCATATTTAGAATATTTCCAGCACTCCAAGGAAATCCATCCCTGAGCCCATTTAAAGTTAGTCCCTGTTCACAACTCATTCCTAAACAATCTTTAAGTTATTCTCTGTTTTTTTAGAATAGTCTTTTCTGGACATTTCATATAAACAAAATCATATACTATTGAACCTTTTCATGGAACTTCTAGGCTTATTCATGATGTAGTACATATCATTCATTAATCCATTTCTTTTTCTTGCTCCTGTATTTATTTCCTCTCTGAATATGACATTATTTGTATATCCATTCACCAGTGGATTGATATTTGAGTCTCCATTTCTGGCTAGTGTAGATAATATTGTTATGCTTATTACATTCATGTGCAAATCTTTGTGTGCTTTTTAGATACATAGCTAGGAGTGAAATTCTTGGTTTACATGTTAAATTTATGTTTCACTTTCTAAGAAACTGACAGATTGTTTTCCACAGTGGATATACTGTCTTACATTCAGCAGCCTACCTTAAATCTCCTAAATTTCCATGCACCCAGTTTCAAACCACAGTGAATAAAATGTCTTCAGTATTCTACTTTGCACTTATCTTTTTCTTCTTAATGCTTATTTCTAAAAATTCAAAATTCAAAATTAGTTCATGCATGATAGTTGTATTTATTTGTGGGATATAATGTGATATTTTGATGCATATAAAAGTATGTATTGGTTGAATTAGAAAGATTCTCACATCACACATAATTTCATCAGGGTTGGACCAATCAAAACCATTTGTACTAGCTCTTTTGAAATAGAAATTTAATTGTTGCCAACCGTAATTATCATGCTTTGCTGTAGAACATCAGAAGTTATTCATCCTATCCAATTGCATCCCTGAACCCCAAACTATCCTCTCTCTCTGTCCTCTCTTTCCAGTCTGAGATAACCAGCATTCTACTTTCTACCTTTATGAAATTATCTTTCTTATCCACAGATAAGTGAGAAGCTACTGTATTTGTCTTCCTGAGCCTGACTTATTTCATTTAGCATAATGTCTTCCAGTCCCATCCTTGGTATACAGATGGTAGGATTCCATTCTTTTTCTAGCTGTATAATATTCATTATGTATAGATATTACGTTTTCTCTGTCTATTAATCCATCAGTGAACACCTAAGTTGATTCTGTATCTTGACTGATATGAATACACATTTATCTCTCTGTTTTATCCTCTAAATGTTTCTTCTCCTGCAGTGTTTTCATTTTATAAAAACTAGATCCTGGCCAGGCGTCCGTGGCTCACTCCTGTACTAGCTACTCAGGAGGCTGAGATCTGAGGACTGTGGTTCAAAGCTAGCTGGGGCAGGAAACTTGGGGAGACTCTCATCTCCAATAAACCACTCAGAAAACCAGAAGTGGTGCTGTGGCTCAACTGGGAGAGCACTCGCCTTGAGTTGAAGAGCTGAGAGACAGCACCCAGGCCCAGAGTTCAAGCCCCACGACCGAAAACAAAACAAAACAAAACACTGGATTCTGCTTATCTCTAAGGCTGATGTCCTCCAAAGAAATCCTCATTTCTATGAAAATACATTCATTTTATTTGAAATGTATTGTTAATTGTGTAGTAATTTCTTCCCTTTTTATTCATCTGTTTCACCAGGAGGTCACCTAATATGTAGCCAA